GATTGCCACGGGTTAGGGGAGGGAAACTGGAGAGTGACTAGTAATAGGTAGGGGTTTCTTTTTCTTTTTAAAATATATTTTATTGATTTTTTACAGAGAGGAAGGGAGAGAGATAGAGAGCTAGAAACGTTGATGAGAGAGAAACATGGACCAGCTGCCTCCTGCACACCCTCTTCTGGGGATGTGCCTGCAACCAAGGTACATGCCCTTGACCGGAATCGAACCTGGGACCTTTCAGTCTGCAGGAGGACACTCTATCCACTGAGCCAAATTGGTTTCGGCCTAAATAAATTTTTTTATTTCAGAGAGGTAAGGAGAGGTAGAAAGAGAAACATCAATGACGAGAGAGAATCACTGATGGACTGCCTACAGCACCCCCCACACTGGGGATCATGTTCACAACACGAGCATGTGCCCTGACCCGGAATTCAACCATGACCTCCTGGTTCATAGATAGACGCTCCCCCATCGAGCCAGGCAGGTTGAGCTAGAGGTTTCTTTTGGGAGTGATGCAGGTGTCCTAGCCTTAGCTGTTTTGCTCAGTGGATAGGGCGTCGGCCTGCAAACTGAATTGATTGGGTTGTGGGTTCGATTCCAGTCAAGGGCACTCGCCCTACTGCAGGCTCGATCCGGGGGCAGCCAATCAATGATTCTCACTATTGACGTTTCTATGCTTCTCCCTCACTCTCTGAAGTCAAGAAAAAAATATATATTTTAAAATGTCCTGCATTAGGTAGTGGCCAGGGTTGCACAAATTTGTGAATGCATTAAAACCCAAGTGTACATTTTAAAGGGCGGATTTTATTTTAAGGAATGAGCATTATAGCTCAGATAACTGCTCCTGCGGTCGCCCCCTAGAGGCCCACGGAGAACTGCAGGGACTCGGGCCCCGCCCTCCGCCTTTCTTTTACTTTTAGCGAGAGCGTGGGGTCCCCCCCCCACTCCCCCCTCCGCCCCCCACACCCCCCCCCGCCCCCGCCCCCACCCCGCTCCCAGTGCGCAGGCGCCCTCTGGGTCGGAAGCCGCGGGGGGGGGGCTCTTCCCAGCCCCCCGGGGCCGCCCCGCCTTCCTCGCGGGGACGTGGCCGCCGCGGCGGGTGGTACCGGGCATCGAGCCGGCTGCCCGCGGGGGTGCCCTTCCCACCCGCGGCCTCCGGAGCTCCCCGCGGTCCCCGGGCCGGGCCCCGGGCCTCCCCCGCGGGCCAGGGGGCGCGGGGCCGGGCTGGCGGGGGGTCTGTCGGGGCCGCGTCGCACGGTCAGCCTCTGCCTCTGCGCCCTGCAGCCCCCCCCCCCCGCCCCCCAGACCACAGACCGGGAGCGGCCGGGGCCGCGCCCCCGAAAACCGCCTACAAACGAGGGAGCCGGAATTGCCCATAATTTTTGCCGTGAAATGCCCTTTGGTTTCCCTAAGCCTGTGGAAGTGTGGAACCATTCTTAGCCCGCTGGCTGAAGCAAAACAGACAAACAGACAAACAGCCGGAACCGGTTTGGCTCAATGGATAGCGCGTCGGCTTGGGGACTGAAGGGTCCCGGGTTCGATTCCGGTCAAGGGCATGTACCTTGGTTGCGGGCACATCCCCAGTGGGGGGTGTGCAGGAGGCAGCTGGTCGATGACTCTCTCTCATCGATGTTTCTAGCTCTCTATCTCTCTCCCTTCCTCTCTGTACAAAAACAATAAAATATATTAAAAAAAAAAACAAAAAAAAAAACAGGAATGTTTCTCTCTCGGGCTCCTCCGCGGGGAGGGGATCCCGGTGGCCGCGGTCTGAGCGGCGCCGACAAGCTCTCGGGTCGGTCCCTCCGCGCCGCACCCCCGGCGGGATGACCCGCTTCCCCGGAGGGAGCCGGCCCCCTGAGGACCAGCTTCTCTCTCTCTGCGGACTGTCTCCTAGTCCCTTTCTATTTTACTCCCTTTCTATTTTACTTCAGTGTACGCGGTGTGCTGTTGGGTGTCTTGGCAGGATAACCTAGTGTTTAAATTTTTATTTTCGTTAAATTGTATTCATTATTTAATGTTTTTATTTAATTTCAGAGTTAAAGGAAGAGGAGGAGGGATAGAAACATCAATGATGAGAGAGTCATTGATGGGCTGCCTCCTGCACGCCCCACACTGGGGACCGCGTGGCAACCCAGGCTTGTGGCCTGACCGGAATGAAACCCTGACCTCTGGGTTTATAGGTCGACGCTCAACCACTGAGCCATACCGGCTGGGCTACTTATTTTTTAAAAATAATTCTTTATTGTTGAAGACATTACATATGTTCCCCGCCCCTCCCATTGTTCCCCTCCAGCCCACCCCCGCCCCCCACCCCAGGCCCTCTCTGCCCCATTATCTGTGGCCATGGGCCATATGTATTTTATTTTTATTTTTCTTAAATATATTTTTTATTTATTTTGTATAAAGAGGAAGGGAGAGAGATAGTTAGAAACATCGATGAGAGAGAATCATCGATCAGCTGCCTCTTGCACACCCCCTACTGGGGATATGCCCGCAACCAAAGTACATGCCCTTGACCGGAATCGAACCCGGGACCCTTCAGTCCCCAAGCCGACGCTCTATCCATTGAGCCAAACCGGTCTTGGCTGTATTTTACTTTTAATTGTGGTAAACGAAAAACCAAATTCTTTTGGATCAAAAGTGTGCCCCCTGCCCTGGCGGGTGTGGCCCAGTTGATTGTCATCCTGTGCACCAAAAGGTGGCTGGTGATTCCCGGTCAGGATACATACCCAGGTTTTGGGTTCAATCCCAGGTTTAGGTGCTTACAGGAGGCAACCGGTCAATGTTTCCCTTTCTCTCTCTCCCTCCATCCCTCCTTATTCCTCTAAAATAATAATAATAATAATAATAATAAAAATAATAAATGTGCCTTCTTGCAGCTCTCAATTTCTACCACTAACTACAGCCTCTGTGACAAAGCTGGGGCAGAGCAGAAGCTCTGTCTGGAGGACAGAATGCCCACCTGTCACCTCACTCTGCCCATTGGGACAGACAGCCCTCCTCCCAGCTGTCCTCGCTCAAGAGCAGGACACAAATTAGGTACGATTGACATGTTACATCCGGTATTTGTGGTTTTGGAGAATGAGATGCAAGGAAACTTAGGCCAGTGTTGTTCAGTAAAAATACAACATGGTTCATGTTATTCTAAAACTTATTCTAAAAGTAAAATAAACAAGTGAAGTTCATTGTAATATATGTTATTTAACTCAATACATCGAAATCGGATTCCAACCTGTAGGCAATATAAAAGAATTATGAAATAAATCTTTCAATTCTCTTTTCGGTGAGAAGTCTGAAGCCCTGTGTGTAGTTCACACTTATAGACGGGCCACACGGGGAGTCCCTGCCTGCCAGGAGCGTGTGGCTGGCGGCTACCATAGTGGACGGTGCAGGTGTGGACGGACTGAGCGGGGGGTTGGGGGGGGACTTGGTGCAATGCCACAGGGAGAGGGCTGCTGGCTGGGTCCTGGGGAACGTGAGCCGAGTTAAGGCTGTGCGGGGGCAGCTGTGTGAGTGCCCTGCCAGCCAAGGGAAGCAGCTACATCTGAGTTAGCGCCCCCCCCCCGCCCCCCCGCCTCCCAGGCAGCCTAGGCAGATGAGAGAGAACAGAACAAGCGAAGGGACTGTCATTGGCCGGTGTGGGGAGATGGCACTCACACCCCAGCGTGCGCTCCACTCGGCGGTTGGTGACACTGATTGGGTTTGTTGGTGGAGAGTGGGCAGCGGATTTTGGAACGGGGCGGGGGTGGGGGTGGGGGGGAGGTTAGCCAGGGGGCCCCCCCGCTTGGTGGTAGGCCCCTCCTCTGGATGCTCATGCTGGGGAGAGGGGCTGGAAGGGGAAAGTAGCAGGAAATGTCAAGGACCCACAGCTTAAAACAGAGACCTTAGTTCTAGGAGCAGCAGGAGTTTCATCGTTTCAAGCTTTTAAATGACTAACTTCTGCCACCGCTTCTGGGCCATGGGGAGGGGCCTTCTTCCCTGGATTCCTCCATCCCTCCTGCTGCCACGGGCACAGGCGCACTCCGCCGAGCCCTGTTCCAAAAGGGTCTTCACACTCCCAGAGCCTGCGGCTCCCTGCCCAGCCTGCCCGTAAGGGAACATCCCTGCCCAGCCTGCCCCGTAAGGGAACACAGGACCAAGATTAGGAAAACGGGGAACATCTGAGTAGGGGAGGCTGCCTGACCCTCTTTCCTCCTCTGACTGGCTGTGAGGGGAGCTGGGCAACTGGAGTATCCTTTCCCCAAATCAGACCTTTGTTTTTCCTGGTGGAGGCTCGGCCCCAGGCCCTGCCGCCTGCTCTGTGGAGACAGCCTGGGGCAGTGTTTCTGACCACCGCTGCCAGGGGCCTGCAGTTCTGGGGGGTTTTGTGTGTGTGTGTGTGTGTGTGTGTGTGTGTGTGTGTGTGTAGCAGCGGGGCCCTGGGCTCAGGGAGTGAGGTTGCGACCAGACCCCAGGATCACAGAGACGTCCGTCAGCAGGTTCTCCAAGAACAGGATTGGCCGGGACCGGTTTGGCTCAGTGGATAGAGAGCCGGTCTGCGGACTGAAAGGTCCCGGGTTCGATTCCGGGCAAGGGCATGTACATTGGTTGTGGGCACATCCTCAAGTAGGGGCTGTGCAAGAGGCAGCTGGTCGATGATTCTCTCTCATCGATGTTTCTAGCTCTCTATCCCTCTCTCTTTCTCTCTGTAAAAATCAATAAAATATATTAAAAAAAAAAAGAACAGGGTCGTCTGGGGGCCCCTGAGAGGGAAAACCCTGAGGCCGCAGGAGGTCGGGGCAGGAGAGTGGGCGCTGTGCCGGGAGCCAACACCCGGGGAGCAGCAGTGCCACCTCCGAGAGGAAGGACGGACGACAGGAGAAGGACAGCCGGACCGGCTCTGGGCGCGTTTATTACAAAACAATGATTACAAACCTGGATAGAAAAGATCCCACACTCCCTGCAATGCCCCCCCCCCCCCCCCCGCCCCGGCCCCAGCCCCTCTCCGCAGGCAGGGCGGGCGCTCAGATGCGCAGGTCCCCGGCCAGCAGGGCCCTGTGCCGGGCAGGGGTGAGGGGCAGGTAGGCGCCCCCCGCCGGGTCCAGGATGTAGATTGGGTCGGGCAGGGCGCTGGGGTCGAAGCCCTCGTTGGCCATGCGGACCTTCTGCTGCTTGAAGGTCTCCGTGGTGGCCAGCGACTCCTGGGGGAGAGGGAACTCTGCCCGGGTGGCTCAGGGGGTTCCCTGGATTCTATTGGGGGGCGGGTCTGGGCAAAGGGGGCCTGAGGTCGGGTTTAGGGGAGGAGGTGACAGGGAAGAGCAGGAGCCACGTCCCGAGGGGAGGAGCTGCTCTCTCTGCAGAGTGTGTGACGGGGGTGACCCGTGTGGGGTTTGGGAGCCACGGACCGGAGTGCGCATGTGGGGCGAGAGGCGCAGGAGGGGGGTTACCTGGAGCCTGAGGAAGCGGGGCCAGGCGTAGGGCGGCAGGTGCTCGGCAACGTGGGCGTAGAGCTGCCCGAGGTCCAGCGCGTGGGGGGGACGCAGGACCAGGGCCGCCATCCCGGCCCGGCCCTCGTGCCCTGGGGATGGGGGAGGGGGGCAGGCTTAGCCTCAGTGCGGTGCCCGGGGCCCAGGTTATGCCCCCCCAGCTCCCCCGCTGGGCACCTGGCACGGTGACTCCATAGACGTTCACCTCCTGGAGGAAGTCCAGGGCCTCCAAGGCCTCCGCCACCTCCGTGGTGGCCACGTTCTCCCCCTTCCACCTGCCCGAGAGGAGGTGGGGGTCAGGGCCGCAGGGCCGGGTGGGCAGAGTGTCAGAGAGGGGTCGGAGTGCCAGGGGCCTGAGGGGAGGGGCTAGGCGCAGAGCTGGGTCGGGGTAGGGGGCCCGGGCCACAGAGATGGGGAGGGGCCTGGGCGGAGCCGGGAGGCAGGGACGGTACCGGAAGGTGTCCCCCGTGCGGTCGTGGAAGCGAAGGAAGCCCTGGTCGTCGCAGACCAGCAGGTCCCCGGTGTTGAAGAACTCGTCCCCAGGCCGGAAGACGTCCTGCAGCAGCTTCCCCCGGGCCAGCTCCGGCGTCCCCGCGTAGCCCAGGAACGGGGACTGCGGGCTCACCGGCGCCACCAGCAGCCCGGGCTCCCCTGGCGAGGAACGGGGGTCAGGGGGGACACTGCCTCCCGCCCCTTCTCCCAGGCCGATCGCCCCTCCCCGGCCTGCCCCCCTCCCCCCTCCCCCACCCCCCCACCCACGCACAGACCTGCTGACGTGGCCACACAGTGCCCCCGGGCGTCCCGCAGTGGCTCCCCTGTGGTGACATCATAGCGAATCAAAGAGAAGGGGAAGACATGCTGGGGAGGGGAGCCCCAGGCACGGGGTCATTTCAGTGGCACGAACGCCCTCCCCCTCCCCGCCAGCCCCCCGCCGCCTCCGGGGCCCCCCCCCCCGACCTGCCCCCGCTCACCTTGTAGAGCCAGGAGGCGCGGCCCACGGCGCCCCGCCGGCCGGTGTAGTTGAACGTGGCCACGTTGCCCTCGGTCATCCCGTAGGTCTCCAGCACCCGCAGCGGCCCGAAGCGCCGCTCGAAGCGCTCCCAGGTGTCCGGCCGCAGCCCGCTGCCCACCGCCAGCCGCACCTTGTGCCCGCGCTCGGCCTGGCTCTGAGGGGAGCGCAGAGGGCCGGGGAGTTCACACCGAGGTGCCAGGGGAGCTCACACCGAGGTGCCGGGGAGTTCACACCGAGGTGCCAGGGGAGTTCACACCGAGATGCCGGCTCCCAACGTAAAGTCCGGCCTGTCCTTCCCCAGAAAGCCTCCCCCTGGACGCTCAGAGCCCCCCACCGGGCGTCCCTCATTCACTCCAGGCTTCCTCCCCTGCCCTGCCCTTTCCGCCTGCTGCCTCTCCCTCCCGCCCCCCAACACCCGTCCCAGGGTCTCCAGGCAGCTGCCCCCTCCCCGCCGGCGGCTCTCCCCGGCCTCCGAGCCCACGCACTGGGGGCTGGTTGACGAGATAGCGGCACAGCTCCCCGATGTACTGGAACACGGTCACCCCGTGCCTCTGGCAGTCCTCCCAGAACTGGCCGGCTGAGAACTTGGACTTCAGTACCACTGTGGCCCCTGCCAGGAGCGGGGAGGAAGGGAAGAGGGAGATTAAGGGCTGTAGGGGGATCCCTGCCCACTGCAGCGCCCCACCCAGTAGCATTCTCACCTGTGGGCCCTCTTCCTTTTCCACCTGGGCCTCAGAGGTTATGCCCTTTGCTCTCCCCATGCGGCATCCTGCCCCAAGTCCCACCCCTCATCTCCATTTGCCTCTGACACTCCCAGCCCTCCCAGGCCCTGGATGCGGAGTTCTGTGAGCACATGGCCCCCAGACTGCTCAGCCTGCAGGCCTGAGCAGGTGACATTCCCCCACAGCACCCCGAGCTCCTGGAGGCACCCTGCCCGCCTTCTCGCTCCCATCCTCCACCTGAAGGACTCGGCCCCTCAGTGAGCACCGCAGCAGGTGCTCCCTCCATGTGAGCTAGAGGACTGCCTGGGGGCGCGGAGGGGAGACTGACCGATGCCCAAGCAGCCCACGATGCCCAGCAGGGAGCCGGACATGTGGTAGAGCGGGAGGGCCAGGTAGATCACGTCCTCCTGGTGGGCACCGCACAGCTGGTAGAACCCCTGGCACTGCAGGAGCTTCAGGTGACTGATGCGAGCAGCCTTGGGGAGGCCTGGGGGGAGACCGGGGGAAGCCGCTCAGCCCCAAGCCCCGCCTCCCTCGGTGCCCCCGCCCCCACAGAGAGAGGCACAGAGGCAAACCCAGAGCTCAGAAAGGGGGCCAGGCTGGCTTGGAAGCGTGGGAAGATCCCCGGGGAGGTGGACAAACGACCAGGAAAGAGAGGGTTGGTGAGAGAGGACATGGCCGCTGGGGTCACCATCTCCTCTGAGGGGGTGGGAAGGGGTGGCCTGGGACAGTTCCTGTCCCCAGACCCTTGTCTCCCTCTGCCTTGGTTTCTGGGAGGGGAGCACGGTGGCCAGCTCTCACCGGTGGTGCCGGAGGTGAAGATGTACAGGCAGGTGTCCATCATGCTCTGGGGGGCCGACAAGTAGCCGGGCACAGGCGCATCCCCTGCAGCGGAAACCTCGGCCAGCAAATCGCTGATCCCAGCGGAGTGGGCTCCGGGGCCCGCAGCCCACAGGCGGAGCCCCATCTCTCTCAGGGCCGGCAGGTCAGGCTCCAGGGACTCCAGGAACTCTGGATGCGGGAGGAAAGCACAGTCCGTCTTTACCCCCCCCCCCCCCCCCCAAGCCTTTCCCACCCCTGAGCTTATGTAGTCGCCACTCTGCCCTCCCCCCGCCCCGCACTGATCTGGGTGAGAGCAGAGTATGGAGGTCCATCCCGGGCTTGACCCAGCTCCACCCCTTTGCAAACCCGCACACTAATCCCCACCGGTTGGGAACCCCAGGAAAAGTTCTAGGGTCCCTTCCGACCCCATCCCCTTTGCCCTCCCCTGCGGCCCCGCCCCGGCCTTACCTGGCGCCAGGACCAGCGCGCTGGCGCCGCAGCTGCGCAGGCAGTGGCGCAGGGGGCCCCGGCGCAGCGCGGTGGGCACAAAGGCGGCGCGCAGGCCCGCCTTGGCCAGCCCGAACCAGAGCCACAGGAACTCCGGGCCGGCGGGGAGCAGCAGCGCCACGGTGGCCCCCGGTGCCAGCGGCGACGCGCCATCACCCCCTTCCCTCGCGGCCCGCGCCTCGCGGCTTCCGGCTGCCCCCTCGCCTTCCCGGGCGCCCCCCGAGCCGCCGCCGCCCGGGCCCTCCTGCCAGCCCCGCGCCCGCAGGAAGGCGCGCGCCGCCCGGTTGCTCCGGCGCTCGGCCTCGGCGTAGCTGAAGCGCCGCGTGCCGTGGACGAGGAAGGTGTGCGCCGGCCGCTGGCGGGCCAGCTGGGCGAGGCGCCAGGCCAGGCTGCAGCCGCCCTCGGGGCTCTGCGGGTCGCCGGCGGCCGCGGCCAGCGCGCGTGCCTGGAGCGCGCGTTTGCACCGCAGGGCGCGCACCGCGAAGGCCAGGTCCGCCGCCAGCCAGCGCCACCGCGGCCAGAAGCGCAGCAGCAGCGGCGGCAGCAGCAGCAGCAGGGGCAGCAGCAGGAGGGCAGCCATCGCTTCCCTCGTCTTCGGCTCGGCGCTGGCTGGCACCGGCTGCTCGCTTCTGGCTGCTGCTGGTGCCTGGTACTCGCTTCCGAGAAACCGGGGCCTCACTTTCTGGCTCCGAAACCGCTCCTTCCCCGGAGCGCGCGTGCGCTGGCACACGCCCCTTCCCCCAGGAGGAGAGCAGGGGCGGGGGTGGGGGCCGGCCCCCGCATTCCCGGCCTCCCCACCCCTACGCTCCGCCCTGGGCTCGCTCCTTCCAGGCTGCTCGCCTGCACCTCACCGGGTCCTGGGCGGTGCTCACGCCTCCCCTCCATCCCAGGGTCATCCCATGTTAAGTCCCTCCTCAAGGGCGGCTTAGGCATCTGGCCTGGACTTTGGTGTCCAGGTCTGAGCGCCAGGACGTTTGGATCAAAGTCCATCTCTCCCTCATTTGCACCCGTGATGGAAGGGTGCCGCTGTTCTCCCCCAAAAGACGGAAGGACTCGGCCCTTTGCCTGTTGGGTGCTGCAAGTCCCAGCAAGGTAGCCAGACCCATGCCCTCCCTGCAGCTGCCAGCAGCGGCGGCAACCCCAGGGGATGGGTGGGGGCTGAAAGCTAAGTAGGGGAAAGGTGGAGGCCCGGCCCGCCAGATTTCCGGAGCGGCCGCGGCGGAGGCCCCTCCCTTTGGGCAAGGGTACAATAATTGGGGCCAGCCAGTGAACGCTTTCCATCCTGGTTTTAATTGGGGCAGAGAAAACTGGGGAAGGAGAGAGGAAGGAAAAGAGGCCTCTGGTGGCTCAGACTTGCAAAGGAAGGAGGAGCAGCTCGGAGGGAGGGGAGAACCTGGGTTCTGAGAGGAGCTTGCAGGCTGAATAGCAACTGTGGGCCGTCAGCCTGACCTTCACTCCTCTAACTGGCACCAACCGCCCTGAAGGAGGGGACCGGCGCAGCCAAGGAGCTCCTCCTGCGGGCACACACAGGGAGGGAAGGGAGCCCTCCCTGGTGACTGCACGCTCCACGTGTCTGGGATCTGAGTGTTGGCATTCGGCCTTACTAAATGGAGTATGATAAACACTAGCTTCTGGAAGTCTCTACTTGAGATGGTTAAGGGCAGATCTCGGCCTTACTGCCTGGCCTTCACTGCCAATGGCATCCAGGATGATGGGGGACAAAGCCAAGTCCCCTCTGCTTCAGACAAGAAGAGGGGAGGGCAGCCTGACCGGTGTGGCTCAGCGGTTGAGCATGGACCTATGTATGATCTAGGAGGTCACGGTTCGATTCCTGGTCAGGGCACATGCCCAGGTTTCAGGCTCAATCCCCAGGAGGGGGCATGCAGGAGGCAGCCAGTCAATGAGTCTCTCATCATTGATGCTTCTATCTCCCTCTCCCTCTCTGAAATTATATATATATATATATATATATATATATATATATATATATATATATATATATATAGGCAAGAAGGAAAAAGGGTGAAATTATGAAGTCACAATTAAACAGACTACCTGTACATGCACAGGGTGAGTGGGGGCAGCAACTCCAGCACAAAAGAGGTTCTGGCTTGTTTTATTGTCATTTAAAAACAGCTTTTAAAACACGATTATCTCTGCCAAAGAAAACCCCACAAAAAAACCCAAAGACGACAACCAAGGACACGGGACCTTTGACAGTTCTGGGGAACAGTCTCTGAGACTCCTTGGGCTCTGGCCCAGCTTGGGGTGCCTCCAGGGCACACCAGGTGGGGCTGTGGCGGCCCTCTCAGCTTCCTTCCTGAGCTCTGGCATCTGCCCCGCGGAAAGAACAGGCAGCCCGGCATTGTCACAGATCAAATGCCCGTTTCACACCAGTGTATGGAGAGCAACGAGGAGCTGCCTGCTTAGGGCAATGAAGATCTAAAGGGGATCGTCAGAAAGGACACTCGCACCCCTTAGTCTTTCTTCTCATCCTCGTCTGGCCAGCCGCCCCTCTGCCATTTCTCCTCTTGATTTAAACAGCTCTTTGGCTGGAGGAGGGGCAGGGGCCTGAGGACCTCCCTGCAGTCCAGGTTCTGAAGCTTCTGGCTTCAGAGGGAACCCAAGTGCCGGGGGAGCAGCAGTGTGGTGGGCTGGAGGCCTCAGGAGGGGAGGAGGGGCTGAGGCTGCATGGCAGCGGATCAGCCTTCCCACCAGCTGAGTTTTGGGGTGGGGAGAGAGGGTGCTTCCCCTCCCGTCTCCCCAGCCGCCGTTAAACCTTTGATTCACCGAGGAGGAGAGGGTGGCCCAACCAGGGGCTGGCTGGGAGCAGGGACTCAGTCACTGTCCGACCCCACGGCAGAGGACCCCTTCCGCTTCCGCTTGGTGGGCTTCGGCTTTGTGTCTTCTTCCTCCTGGAGGAGATCGAGGGGGGATCATGAGCCTGATAGCTGCTGCCCGCCCCTGCCCCCACGCTCCTCTCCTGCGCTGGCGGGGGGTCTCACCGAGGCACTGCTGGAGCCAGACTCTTCCTCGGCGTTGGGGGGCTGAGCGGCATTCTTCCGACTCCGGGGGCTGGACAGAGCTGCTTTTCGCCGGCTCTTGGGGGGCTTGGAGGAAGAGTCCTCGTATTCCTCTGCCAGGGAGAAGAGGTCGCTGAACCTGAGGGACAGGAGAACGAGCTCTTAGAGCGGGGCCTCTGGCCTCCTTCCCATCTTCTCTGCCCCGCCCACCCACGCCTCGGTTTCTCTCCAGCCCCGTGGTCTTCCTGGTCATTAAAGGAAGAAGTTTGTGTCCCCAGGAGGCCCCTCCCCTTGGCCTTCTCCCACCGCTTCCCCAGGAGCCTCACTTCATCTTGTGGGCCTCGTCGCAGCTCGCCTGGACATGCTGCAGCGCCTGGAGAATGGGGGTCTGGCTGAAAACTAGAGGGAGGAGGGACAGCAGGGAGGGGACAACAGTCAGAGGTCTGGGAGCTTGACAAGCGGTACCCAGGGGTGATTTTCTCTGCCCTGCTCCCACCCGGCCCAGGGCGGTCTGAGCCAGTTGGCACAGGGCACGCCAGACCCGGGGAGAGCGGCGAGCATACAGTTCTGCTTGGTGTTGGTCAGGTTGAGACGCAGGTTGTCCAGGTGCTCCAGGATCTGCTCCAGGGTCAGCTGGGCCAGCTTGCTGCTGGAACTCCTCAGGCTGCAAGGAAGTCACCGAGTCGGATCTGAGCACCAAGTGAGGCTCCCAGAGTGCAAGGCACTCCCCCCAGCAGGGCCCCCTGAAGACAGACACAGCCGTACAGGGAGGGGACCGAGGGCTGGGATGGGATCAGGGAGGTGAGCTAGAATGGGGACCGGCCACAGGGCACTAGGAAGAGGGGAAGGGGCCCTGCGTGCCATGTAGCTTCGGACCACTAGGTGTCACCCACACGCCAGCCAGGTACAGTATGGGCTGCCCTGGGGGTGGCGGGTGGACAGTGGCAGCTCGGCCTGGTGTCCCGAAGGGCCCACTCCCACCTCTGCCTCTTGCGTGGGAGGCTGTTGTTCTTGATGAGCAGGGACTTGATGTGCTCGGCCAGCAGCTCATCGTGCTTCATGCACCAGTGCCGCAGGATGCTGGTGGTGAACTGGTCATCGGGGTGGCAGGGCCGGCTCAGCACCATCTTGACCATCTCCTCGCTGGGCCTGGGGGCGTGAGAGGGGCTATGGGCACCCTGCTCACATGGTGGCCTCAGGAATCTCGGATCTCTCCCTTGTGCTAATTTCCCGAACCTCAGCCTGCCCCACCCGAGTCCTGCCGCAGCTTCCTACTCTCACATCCCCTTCCCTCTTCTCTCTGGGCCAGGGAATGCCTGGTTTCTTCCTCTGCAGAAGCCAGCAGAGAGGAAGTGGGATTCTCTAGTTTCTGTGGTGGTAGAAAGTGCGTGTGGACCTGCGGGGAAGGAAGCCCCCAAGTCCCCTCCCTTTCCCCAAAACATTCAGGAAATGGACCAGGGAGGCCAAGGACAACTTGTGGTGTGTGAGCACTGCCCCGCCCCTCCCCCACCACGGAGCTGTGAGCCACACCAGTGCCCAGCCCCCGGGAAGGCAGTCCCCACACAGTCCTCCTGCCTTCCTACTTCCTTTAGGACGCTTTGTACCACTTCTAGTCTCTCAGGCAAGAGAGGAGAAAAAGGAAAGACAGGAAGGTAGGAAGGAAGGCACACAGCTGTTATGCCATGTGTATGGAGCTGTTGTGGGAGTGCCTGTGATGGCCCTGGCTGGTGTTGCTCAGTGGTTAGAGTGCCAGCCTGAAGGGCCTTTGATTCTATCCCCGGCCACAATAGGGGCACACGTGGGAGGCAACCAATGGATGTGTCTGTCTCACATCAATGTTTCTCTCTCTCTCCTCCTCCTTCCTTCCTTCTACTCTCTCTAAAAATTCAATGGGAAAAATATCCTTGAGTAAGGATTAAAAAACAAACAAACAAAAAGTGTCTGTGATGAGGGCGGGGCCTCTCTGCCTTCTCTCCCTCTCCACCTCTCCCCACCCAGCAGGGAGCCAGCAGGTTGAGGAAGCGGGTGGTGTGTGACCCTCTGTTCTGACCCTTCCTCCTCTTGGATTAGCCAGTGGTGGCCTCAGAGCCTGGGGGAGGGGAGAGAAGCTCCGGGATTAGAACTGCTGTGGCAGCAGGAAACAGGGATGTCCGGTCCCCACCCCCAGGGCAGCTCCTGGTGGGCAGGGGGGAAAGTCCAGAGGAAGCCCAGATCCCCGGGAGCTGCTGATTTGTCAGTCACTCTGGGGAGAGGACAGAATAAGCCCAAGTCAACAACAGGAACAAACACGGCCACAGGGGCAGGACCAAAGCCTCCTCTCAGGAGCATCTCCTGGTGTGCTGGATGGGGCTCCTCAGCTCCCGGGGGAACTCACTTCTCTCTGCGGAGCTGAAGCAGCAGGCAGGACAGGGCCTCGGGGTGCTCTGTGGAGGAAGGGGAGAGGCCAATCAGAGGAATGCATAATTCCAGGAAGACATCCGGGTACCTCTCCCATCCTCCAACCAACAGCCACTGGGAGGAGCAAACACAATCTTCAGGAGCCAGGAAGAAGAATCCTACCTCTTCCTGCACAGCCTGAGCCCAGCCTGGGGCCTGGCTCAGATGGGCGTGCAGGACTCAGCTAAGAGCAGAAATGGCTGACCTTCTGCACGAGCTTCGAAGGGAGGGAGCAGTGGGCCTGGGCTCACCTAGAAGGCCAGAGGCCTCAGCCTTGCCCCAGCCCGACTAGGAGAGTCCCGTCACCACGCTCCCTACCAAACCCTACTCACCCTTGTACTTGAGGTGCTGCAAGATGGGGATGATGGTCTCCAGGGGGATGTTGTGGGCCAGGAAGAGCTGCCAGGCACAGTACTGTTCAAAGGTTTCCCACTCCAGGCTCTGGACTTCGAGACAGTGAGGACACATTTATTCTGTCTCTTTCTCTCCCTCCCTCCCTCCCTCTCTTCCCCGAACAACCAGCACTGCAATCCTAAGCCTACAGAAACTTCCCTTTTCCCCAAAAGGCTCATTTCCAAAGCCTTCAGATAGCTTCCCTACCCCATCAGCCCTACGCTGGGGGCTATCTTTCCTTCTTACAGGGCAAGGAGCAGATCCAGAGACATGACCCCAGAACGCAGTGGTCTCAGCCCCACAACCAGCTCTCCCGTTCCTATCCGCAGGCCGCCACCCTCTTCTCCCAGGTTCCCCAAGGGTCTGCTCACTTACTGAGGATGTTGAGGACTGAGTCTTTTCGAAACATGACCAGGTTCCCCATCATCACATGGCAGACCAGCTCCTGGAGCTAAGGAGGAGGAGGAGGAGACATAACCCACCGATTCTAAGAGAGGCCGGGATGCTAGCAAGGAAGGAGAACTAAGAGGGCTCAATAGAGGGGAAATCAGAGGAAGTGAAGGCCTAGTCTTTAAAGGTTTAGAGAAGAGATGGCACACAATGGATGCTGGGATCTCTGAAGGACAAAGGGGCCTGGGAAAGAAGCAATAGGCCGGGGTGGCAACCACAGACCCCTTTTGGGCAAGAACAGTTACGTGAAGCCACCGAGGCAAGAGAATGGCAACCATTCAGGGCCTCCGACCCCTCCCAGCCTGTACCGGGAGGGAAGGGCCATGGAGACCTGGCTCTGATTCCAGGTGCGGGGAAAGCAAAGGAAGGACTCTGGAGCATTAAACTTCCTCCTTTATGGATGGAAAGGAGGGACAGAAACGGGGCGCCAGTTCAGGCCTGAGAATGGACATTAGCAAAGCTGAAGCCTCTTGGGGACGTATGCATGGTGGGACGGTCAGACAGAAACCCTGTGACCATTTCATCCTGAGTCAAGTACATGGAAGGCCGGGTGAGAGCAAAAACCAATCCCTTCGCTCTCCCTGTGGAACAGAAGAGCCCAAAGAATATGGAGAGGGGGAACCCTTGGGGGACTGCCAGCCCAACCTGCCTCTCTGGGCTGCTTTCCTTCCCAGTCCCGGGGTCAAGTGCACACAGCAGCAGCCAGGGGCAGCCGGACACAGGCCAGGCGGGGAAGCAGAGCCCCGGTTTCCAGTCCTGCCTCCCACACTTCTTGGGATGACAAGTCGCTCACCTGTGCAGAGTCAATAACGGCCACGATCATGTTCAGTAGCTCCCCACTCCGCAAGGTCTCATCTGGAAACTGGAGAAAGAAGAGGGGTCCTAGGGCAGGAGTCCAGGGCACACTCCTTGGCCTTTACCTCACAGCCCATTCCCCGGCCTTAGCACGTGGTCGGGGGGTTGGGGGGAGCTGGGTGAGCAGACACAGGGTCCTAATAGAAAACCCTAGGTTTTCAATGCCCAACAACCATGAAGCTGGAAGCCTAGCCCCTGAGAGCCGGGGTGTGTTACATGTGTGGTAGTGTGTGCGCGCACACGAGGGAAGGAATGGGAGCTTTGTAGCGACAAAGCTAAAGCAGAAGGGATTGGACGTGACAGTTCGTTCTGTGTGATGACAAAATACGCATTTGCATCTTAGCAGCAAAGAAATCCAGTCTTTTCTGATCCTCAGCCAAAGAGGAGAGGTGCAGAGAGCGTGTGGGTGTTCAGGGAGTGTGCAGGGTGTGGGGTGGGCAGGACTCCTTCTGGAGAAACCAGTTCACCAGTGAGGGAGCAGAGAAGGAAACTGCCGTCTGCTGGCAAAGGGCCGAGACCTGTGACCGTGGATCTGGATGGGGGCCCGTCCCGGGTCCAGAAGAGGGGCCAACGCCAGGAAGCCAAGTATAGAGGCCCAGATCCCAACTCGCAGAGACACTTGGGAGCTTGCAGACCTTTTTAGGTCTTTAATGAAGATGTGGATGGAGGGGACAGCTGCAGTGTGGGAAGAAATGGCTCACCAAGGCCAGGAGGGTGGGGAAAGGAGGGTCAGGCTTGTGTGCAATGAGAAAGGGCACACTGCTACCCCACCCCCACGGATACGGGCAGAGGCACTGACCTCTGTGTAGATGGAGGGTGTGAGGTGGCACAGCAGCCGCACGTCATCCTCCTGGCAGGCCTTCATGTCCATCATTAAGCAGGTGTGCAGGTCCCCCAGCTGCGTGGCCTGGGCGAACGACTCGTACAGGTTCATCTTCCCCGCGGCGGCTTTGCTGCAAGACCAGGGGAGCCTAAGTCAGCAGCCTGGTCCCAGCACCCAACCTCCAGCATCCCTCAGGCAGGCTGCTGCTAGAACCCCTCTGCTACCCCAGGCGCCTGGGGCTCATCTATTTCTTGGCTCTCCCCTGCCTCCCCAAGGGTTTGGTAACTTATGGGAACCGGGAGACATTGCTCCTTCCCCACACCTTTCCCCAGGGCCCTAGACAGGGCCCAGACCACATCTAGTAAGCTACTAAATGGGGACAGTCAACAACGGGAGAAAGAGGGCCCGGGTCAGGCTAAAGAAACCTTTCTTTCCTGCTTTCTGGGCTCTGAGCAATGAGGACAATAATGCCTACCTCACAACATATATAAAACATAACTCAAAATGGGTTGTAGGCCTAACTGTAAAACATATATACTTCTTAGGAAAATACATAAGCATAAATCTTCATGACATCAAAAGCACAGGGACAAAAAAAAATAAACTGGACTCATCAAAATGTAAAAGTTTTGTATTTCAAAGGATGCCATAAAGAAAGTAAAAAGAGCCCTCGCTGGTTTAGATCAGTGGATAGAGCATCGGCCTACAGACTGAGGGGTCCCAGGTTCAATTCTGGTCAAGGGCACATGGTCTAGTTATGGACTCAATCCCCAGTAGGGGGCGTGCAGGAGGCAGCAGATGGATGTTTCTCTCTCATCGATGTGTCTAACTATCTCTCTCCCTTCCTCTCTGTAAAAAAAAAAAATCAATAAAATATTTTAAAAATCAACAACGAAGAGGAAAAATAACCCAATTAAAAATAGGAATGAATTTGGACAGCTGGTGTAGCTCAGTGGTTGAGTGTTGACCCAGGAACCAAGAAATTGCCCTTAAATTCCTGGCCATGGCGCATGGCCAGGTTGCAGGCTCGATCCCCACAAGAGGACGTGCAGGCGGCAGCCAATCAATAATGTTTCTCTCTCTTCAATGCCTTCTATCTCTCTATTCTTGTCCTTTCCTCTCTCTAAAAAAATCAATAAAAAAAACAAGCAAACAAACAAAAAAACCACAGTGAGATACCACTTCACGCCCATACGATGGCCATAATCAAAAAGGCAAAGTTGCCAGTGTTGGGGGAACACATAGAAAGCTCAGAACTCTCACACATTGCTGGTGGAATGTAAAATGGTTGCAGTCACTTTGGAAAAATAGTTTGGCACTTCCTCACAAACTCAGAGTTTGTGACCCATTCCTCGGCATACACCCAGGAAAACCAAAACCATATGCTCACTCACTAATCTGTACGTGAGTGTTCACAACAGACAAAGAAGTAGAAACAACTGAAATGTCCATCACTGGCCGTGATCGTATAGTGGTTGGTACACTGCATTGTGAAATGTCCATTACTGAGCACATGGATATTACAAAATGCGGGGTATTATTCACTCACGAAAAAGGAAGGACTGATACAGGCTGCAATGGGAATAGACCTCGAAGACGGTAAGCTAAGTGACAAAACGTCACGGAACGTCACACATTGTATGATCCCATTTATATGAAGTTCCCAGAATCAATAAATCTATAGACAGAAAGCAAACCAGTGGTAAAAGGGAGACAGGGAAAGGGACTGCCAAAAGGCTTCTTTTTAGGGTGATAAAAATGTGCTGAATTGGACAGTAGCAACAGTTGTACAACTTGTAACTGTACTAAAAACTACTGAATTGTACACTTTAAAGCTGTTATTTAAAAAAAGAGAGAGAGAGAGAGAGCGAACACATGAGAGCCCTGGTGGTGACAGACAAGGGGGCGGGATCCGGAGTGGGAGGAGAGCGGCGCTCCAGGATGCTTCCTGACCCCTTAACTGTGGGGCCCGCGCCCACCTGGCCCGCAGGTAGTAGAGCAGGTGGTAGCCGATCTTGGGCTGCCTCTGGTAGAGCTCGGAGAGGAGGTCCAGAAGCAGAGAGAAGCTGCTGTTGTCTTCCTGCATCTGGCACAGGTTCCTGGAGGGGGAGGGGAAGAGCGGAGCTTTACCTGGGCCCTCTCCTAGGAGCTCCCGGGGAGCGTGGTCTGCTTGCCCCACCGCATCCCCTTCCTTCCTGGAAAGGGGTCCCCTTATCCCGAGACAGAAGCAGGTGTGCTCCAGGGGTGGAGGGTGGGGCAGTATCTCCTACCGCTGGATGCTTACCTAAATATTAGGTAGAGGGGCTTCCCCACAGATTCCTCCAGGGACCTACGAGAGGAAGGTGACGTGTGAGTCCATGTAAGCAGAGAGGGTGGGCAGATGTTGTGGAGGACCAGCTGGAGGCAAGATGCCAGCCCCCTCCTTTCCTAACTAAAAGCCAGCGTCCTGCTGCTCCAGAGGCGCGGTCCCGGAGAACACAGGTTCCTAACACGGGACCACGGCAGGGTTGTCATCGTCACTGAAAGTGAGACTCCTGCCCTTCAGGGAGGGTCCAGGCAAGGTCCGATCCCACCTCAAGAGCAAGCATGGGGGCTGCTGGGTACAGCAGCAGGGCGGGCACACGGGGGGGGGGGGGGAGCCAGTCCACCACCCCTTGGCCTTCAGCAGGGAAGAAGAAGCCCTTGTTTAAAGGAATCTGTATACGGGAACCAGAACAGATGGTTTTTCTCAGCCCTCAGCAAGGTGCCTCTGGAGCACACTTCTGCCTCCTAAGTCAGAAAGATGAGCCTTACTCCTCCGTAACCTCCTCGGGCAGCACCTCCCCTCGGAAGTGGGCCTTGAAGAGCTCCTGTAGGCAGGACGCAAGGACCGACAGCTGCTCTGAGTCAAAGTCTTCCTGGTGGGGAGACAAGGGAGAGGATGTCACCATCAGACCCAAGCCTTACTGCCCCCACTACCCAGACTCATCAGCTCCCTCCTCCAGGATTAGCCAGCCTCTCCCCCAGAAAAGGGGACTCACTGGGCCAGGGAGGAGGGAGTCAGCTGCTGGGGGGCGGAGGGAGGGAGGCTGCTTCCTCCCTACGGCAAAGGGTTTCTGCTTACCTCCAGGACCTGGTCCACGATTTCCTGCATGACCTCACACTGGGCCTCTGTATCACTGCCGTGCAGAAGGGAGAGGAAATCTCAGGGATGTCAGTGATAGCAGAGGGCAGGACACACACCCACAGAGCAGCACGCTCACACGCACAGGGACAAAACAAAGGAGCTCTGTGTGACTCTGCTGTGTGGGGAGGATAGGGGTGCAGAAGCCAAATCCCCACAATCCTGCTTCGAAATTCACAGCCTCAGAACCCATGGAGGGAGAATATACAGAGGGGGAACCTGGGGTGCTGGGAAATGAGGCTGCCACCCCCAGTCCATACACGCCCACAGACACTGCAGAAGGCATCCGCATGCAGCTTCAACCACTTCTCCAAACACCTGCCACGTCCCCCCAACCCCACCATCCTGCCACCCCACTAAGCAAAGTAAAAAAAGTAAAACCCGGGGCCGGACGGCGGGGGGCTGAGAGCAGGGTGCACCTACCTGCCTTTCTGTAGCTGGAGCACTTTGTCCCTTAAGGACTCGTCCAACTGGTCAAGGTAAGGGGTGATATCAACTGGCTCCTCCACAACCGTCTCCTTGATAGGGTGGAAGCGAAACTCTCTCTTCTTTCCTGGAGGGGGTGATTTGGGAAAGAAGTCACTCTGCCCAGATACCAGCGACGGAGACAGCCCCCCTGAACCATCTGTTCCTCCTCACGCGCACTCAGCACCATGTGTGGCCTGAAGCATTTCCCTGAGTGTGTGCACACCCAGCCCCGAGGAACACACAAGGCCGGGGACCACTTCTCCTTTCCCCTCCGCTGACAAAACTCACTCACGGAGGCAAAGGCGGCAGAGAAGCCGGGCACAGGCCTCGCCTACCAATGGAGCGGACACACCCTGAGCTACCCTGGCTTCTGGCCTCACCTTTGCTGTTGAGATCCTCCTCATCATCACTGAAGGCTGCTTCTGCATTGTCATAGCAACTCTCATCCTTGTCTGACATATGGTTGTCCATCTCCATGGAAACGGGCTCCTCAATTTTGACTTGGGAAAGAAAGACAAGGCATTGGATGGCCTCCTGTGTCCTCTAACATGCACCAAGCTTGGAAAAGAGGAGACTGAAGGGCAAGTGAGAGAATGAGGAGTTCATGACCTAATTGGAATATGAACCCTGGATGGACAAAGGTCTTATTCTCCCAACCCTGCAGGACTTGCAGGGGGATCTGCCAGGAGTAAAAGAGCACAGGCCATGACTCCTCTCTGCTCAGCTCAGGATCAGCGAGTAGATAAGACCAAGGACAGTCTTAAGTACTCTTTAATTTAAAGCCAAATTGGGAAATTTTGCTTGGCTTAACCCCTCCCCCTAAACAAAAAGTGTTTGTGTGTCTAAAACTGGGAGCAAGACTTGAGACCCAACATGACAACCTTTCACCAAGGCCAGGGCCCTGGCCTGGAAAGAAAAAAGGTGGACAAAGTTAAAGCAAGATAAATACATTCCGTGAACATCTCTGCCTACTGAAGACAGGTTAAAAAGAGGCAAAGTAGTTAGGAGAGCAAGCGAGATTAGCGCAAGTTAGATAAAAGTAGATGGAAAGACCCTGGTCCGGCAGCTCCGCTGGTTAGAGAACTGTCCCAATACGCCAAGGTTGTGGGTTCAAACCCCGGTCAGGACACATACATAAGAATCAACCAATAAGTGGAACAACAAATCGATGTCTTTCTCTAAAGATCAATGAAAAGATTTTTTAAAATTAGATGGAGAGGGAGAACCTAGCAAGACATAAACATGAGTGAGAGAGAAGTAGGGAAAGAGAAACGAATGGACAATGACGGAGGCAGAGAGATGCACAGGTGTGTCACCTAAACAGGGGCTCTCGTTTGAGAGCCCGAATGTCTCCATCCCTCTTTTGAAGTAGGTGATGACATGGGAGAATCCCCTACCTTCCACAGGAGGGCTGGGTGAACTGCAGAACTCAGGAAACTTCTCCCTCAGCATGGCCCGCAGCTCCTTATCCAGTTTGGGGTTGTCAAACAGGGGAGCCAAATGCCTAACAGGGACCATGAATGAAGTTCAACATCAGAGCTCCTTCCTCCCAACTCCACACGGAGGTACAGGGGTAGGTCTAAGCCCGACCAGGATAAGTGGGCTCAGTCAGATCCTGGGAGAGGATCACCAGGGGACAGGGGATGCATCTGAAGCCCTTTGTAATGTGATGGCAGGAGAGACATTTCTCTGAGGGTCAAGAGAACACAGGCCTAGCCTTCTGAAGTGGAGCCAACGCTCTCTCTACCTCTCAAGGTAAAGGGTCAGTAGTTGTATGGTAATATCGGATGTGCCTGACCTGGTAAAAATGGGAAAAAACCTTCCCCCCCCCAGACACAGAAAGTCCTTACGCCAAAACCCGTTTCTCCACAATGTGGTTGAGGGACGAAAAGACACCCTGCCGCACATGGCCCTCCAGCGGTGGGTAGAAGTTGGGAATGATCTGGAAGGGAAGAAGGGGAGAGAATAAGCACGGGACCTAAAAGGCTGCATTAAATATATATATATTATGGAGCCCAGCTGGCATGGCTCAGTGGTTGAGCATTGATACATAAAACAGGAGGTCAAAGTTCAATTCCCAGTCAGGGCACATGCCCGGGTGGCTGGCTCAGTCCCCAGTAGGGAGCATGCAGGAGGCAGCTGATCAATGTTTTTCTCTCACAGATGTTTTGCTTCTCTCTTTCTTTTTAAAAGCAATTTTAAAAAATATATTATTTTTTAAATAATAAAAAAAAAAAAGGACTGTTTCAGGAATTTCCCTGTCATCCTTGCACAGGACCCTGCTACTCTCTGTACTGATCCAATTGCAGTGTGTGTGCTGCTGAAGAGAGCACAGGCCTGGTTCTGACTGGGGCCACTAGAGAGTATGGGTGGACGTTCCTGACCTGCTAAAGTGGGAACCTTGCTGGACAAGGAGACCAGAGTCTGTGTTAAGTCACCATTCCTGAGGATGAGAAACCTCATGGAAAGGTGGGAAGACCCAATTGGAGACGGCGGGAATTCATTAACTTCGGACCTACAACCACTTCTGCTCCCACAGTCAAAGGGCTCTGGGACGACCTAGTCACTGACCTAGAAGGTTCGAGGGGATGCGCACTTAGCCGCTCAGCCAGGCAAGAGAAGAAAAGGGGCAGTGGCACTTACGCGGCACATGAAGTCCAGGAGTGTGGCAGTGATGGCTGGGTGGGGCTTCATGGAGTGATGCATGACCAGGATGGCTGGCTCTGGAGAATGTGGAATTACAGGGACCCCATATCAGAGTCTGCTCTTAGCTCCATAAGCTGAATGATCAATACATGTGAATGGTTCCGGAGAGCTATCCCTGCCCCCTATTTCCACTGAGCAGAGCCAAAAGCACCCCCCACCCCCCAAAAAACAAAAAACTGCTGGTAGACCTCAGCTCCCCTTTTGTCCCCAGAACTTAACTTGGAGGAAGGAGGTAGCAGGAAAGGAAAAGTGGGATGTGGTGCAGCTTTTTTCTTGCAGACACACACACACACACACACACACACACACACACACACACCCCGCCTGCTGAAGTCTAAGCATCAGGCTGTAGAGAAAAGCAACTTTCCTTCCAGGTCAAGGCAGCACTGATGAGGAACACGGAACTGCTCCCAGATAAGCGGCCTCCACTCCACTCAGCCCTGAGGTTGGTGACCGCTATCACTGAGACCCGGGGCTGGGGGGTGGGGTGGAGAGTGATGCTGCTTGGGCCTCATTCACATACCTATGTTCATGATGCTATCCTTGTCTGGGCTAAAGAACAGCCAGTCATAAAACAAAGCCAGCTTGGCATTGGAGGCAGCGACATTTGACTAGAAGAGAGAGGGGGGAAAGAGGGCCCGTTTCATCAACCAGCTCCCTTCCCTTTAGGAGCCCAAGACAGATTCCAGGGCTTACAATACTGATCCATCTATGAAAATCTGGTTCCTAGTGAGACAGAATGGAACCCCCACAGGGGTGAGGGACACCCAAGTCTGTATATGCGTGTGAGTCCCTTACAGTCTCACCAACCCAGGGGCTGAGGCTTAGCGTGGGGTCTCACATAAGGGCAGACACCTGGGCTGGGAGTCCCTGGTCACTCGTGAGCTGAGCCAGCACGAGTCCGAGCCCTTGCTGGATGCACCAGGCACATTCCAAAGGAAAGACCCTAGGAATAGCCTGCTGTTATATCTGAATCAGCACATTCCAAGGACACAGTCAGATGGGGGAGCAGGAGCCCTTACAAAGGAGGTCAGAGGGCAACTACACGCCAGGGAGCAGAGTTTCCCACCCGTGGCATGGGAGGGAAATGCTGGGGAGGAGATGGCTCCATTGTGAATTCGCTACTTGTGGAGAAGAGAAGTATCCAAAGCTGATGCCAAAGGCGTGGAAGTAAGTGTGTCTGGATCCGTGGTCTCTGGAAGAAGGAATGCCTAGAAACCCAGGCTTGGGGACTGGCATTGGTAAACCTGTTTAACCCCAAGCCCAGACAGGAAGTAATGAGTGCAAGTCCATTTCTCGAGACATGAAGGGAGGGAGTGCAAAGACGGAGACATTCATGAGAGTAAGAGGGCCCTCAGGGGTCAGGGTGCTCGGAGAGTGAGGAAGAAGCAGGGATATATGGGGAACTTGAAGGAGGGGGGACCCTTTGCCACCCAACAGCCTCTCACCGTGCATGTTGTCAGCAACCAACCAATGATGGCCCATCGGGGCAAGATATCTGAACTCAGCACTTCATTAGAAGGGTGGACAACCCCACAGATGTAGCGAATGAGGTCACAGCGCAGAGACTGGCTGTCTGGGGTTGACAGATACTGACGCTGGAACCAATCCTGGTATCGCTTTTGTTGACCAAATCGCACCTGGTGGAAGGACATTGGAAAAGATAGAAAAGAAACGTGGAAGGGAAGGCGAGGCTCTGGGCAAAGGAAAGTGAGCACCATTCAACTCTAGGCTGGAGCCAGACCTCAATTTCTTCCCACAATTCATTAGTCAGTTAGCACTGTCTCTCAAGTCTCCCCTCCTTGATTAAAAAAATATATATATTGGAAGTCACACATCTGTGGTGAATTCATTCTTGCCACTGATCTGATGTTACCGCTTTTGGTTCCTCCTCCTGTGCTGGTTCCTGATTCTTCAGTCATAAGCACAATCTTTTTTTTTTTTTTTTTTTTTTTAATAAGTATAATCTTTTATTTTCTTGAGCTACTTGTGAACAGCAAGCAATGCCCCTTCAGAACAAGAGCTGAGCCTCTCACTGCTCAGCATTGACTAAAAGCTTCCTGACACTAAATGACTTAACAGGATAATTATCCAAGGTACATACAACCTCCAATCCTTCTTGCAGGTTAAGTCCTTCCCCCAAACAGGCTATGTGGTTATGAAAAGCAATACTAATTATGAAGAAAGATCTGGTTTTCCTCTTTTATTTCCCAAACTCAACCAAAACAGAGAGCAGAAAGGTTAAAAGAAGAAGAAGAAAGAACATCTAGACCAGTGTTTCTCAACCATCCTAATGCCTCAACCCTTTAATACAGTTCCTCATGTTGTGGTGACCCCCAACCATAGAATTATTAGGCTCTATAGCAGTGGTTCTCAACCTGTGAGACCCACAGGTTGAGAACTGCTAGCAAGGTCGCCTAAGACCATCGGAAAAGACAGATATTTACATTATGATTCACAACAGTAGCAAAATTACAGTTATGAAGTAGCAACAAAAATAACTTTATGGTTGAGGGTCACCACAACACGAGGAACTGTATTAAAGGGTCGCAACATTGGAAAGGTTGAGAACCACCGATCTAGACCAACTGATCTTGTCCAATAGAACTGTCTGCAATGGTGATAGTTATTGAACACTTAAAATGTAGCTACTGCCGAAAACCGGTTTGGTTCAGTGGATAGAGTGTCAGTCTGCAGACTGAAAGGTCCCAGGTTCGATTCTGGTCAAGGGCATGTACATTGGTTGTAGGCACATCCCCGGCAGGGGGTGTGCAGGAGGCAGCTGGTCGATGTTTCTCTCTCATTGACGTTTCTAGCTCTCTATCTCTCTTCCTTCCTCTCTGTGGAAAATCAATAAAATATATTTAAAAATAAAAATAAAATGTAGCTACTGCAACCAAGGTCCTGAATGTTAATTTTACTTAATTTTAACTATTTAAATCACAACACATGGCTAGTGGCTACCCCATGGGACACTACAGATCAAGACAGCCCTCCTGGCTACCTGGGATGCTGAAAGTTGCTACAGCAGTTGTTCCCTGACACCAGGCTGGCTGCAGACGAGCGGATGTCTGGAAATTGTTAGAAATACAAATTCTTCAGATTCTCTCATCTAGGAAGATGTATTTTCCAGATGCTCCTCAAGCAATTCTGCCATAAGTCATGTTTGGAAAACAAAAGACCAGGGCTCTCTTCCTGAGCTCATGGTTTACCCAGAGGAACAGTGAGTTTTCCAGAATGAACATCCTTACTTTACCCTTTTATAACACATTTCACACTTGTCAGTTACATTATGTTTGTATGATTGTTAGTTTAGTGACGCTTTAGATAGACTGGAAGCTACACAACAGCTGTAATTGTCTCTCTCTTATTCAGCAATGTGTCCCATGCCCAGTGCCAGGTAGATCAGGGGCATCCACTTGACCACTTCCCACCAGTCAGTGACAGACCGGCAGGCTGAAGAAGGAGCCTCGCTAGTGTCCACCACGTCTCCTGCTGCAGTAGGTGAGCTTACCCGGGAGGTCATGAAGAGAAGCTTCGTCTCCATGTCTGGGGTTAGACGGCATGCTAGGAATTTTCGGGATGTCCTTGACTGAAGAAGCTGCAGGATACCTGAACCAAACGTAGAAGGGAAGAGAAAAAAGAGAAGTTTGAGGACTAGAATGGAAGGCAGGTGGGGAACCTGGACCAAGGACTGCTTGCTGGCCAATGGTCTTACTCACTGGAAATTCTAAATAAGACCAGAGCCAAAGTGTAAGGGAGGGTTTTAACCAGCATCTGTATATTCCGCTCCAATGGACTACCATCCCCACAATCCAGACATATTCATTCTCTTCTATTGGCCATCCAGAGCCTGTTATTCACATTATTCTAGTTAGCAACATGTGGGATGATGAAGGGGGAAATATGGGAAACCCTCGCCTCTCTTCCGGCTCTTGATGGTCCCATCACTGGGCCCTGGGATCAGTGTGGTGGTGTGGCATAGCATGAGCCCTGGAGTCAGACAGACTTGGATCTAAATCCTGCCTCTGACACTTACTGGCTGTGTGGCCTTGAGCATATTACTTTATTTCCTTGAATCTAATTTTCTTTATCCATCTTACAGGATATCCTAAAGATTAAATGAGTTAATATAGGGTGTCCCCCCAAAATGTGTAAATACGTTAAGAGCTGATAGCTCACTTACATTTCACCCCTTTTCAGCATTAACTGATCTGAAATAAGGGGTGAAGCCAGACTATGCTTTGAACAAAGAAAATTTATGCTAACATGCCACGCCACTACACTTTTTTCATGGGGATGCATAAAAGATAAAGTTTACGAAACCAGTTACGAGAGCGTTGGCCTGCGGACTAAAAAGTCCTGGGTTCGATTCCGGCCAAGGGCATGTACCTTGGTTGCGGGCACATCCCCAGTAGGGAGTGTGCAAGAGGCAGCTGATCGATGATTCTCTTTCATCGATGTTTCTAACTCTCTCTCCCTCTCTGTAAAAAAATCAATAAAATATATTAAAAAAAAAAAAGTTTACAGTACAGAACCAGCAACAGTCAATGAATTGAAGGCGCATGAATATTGAATGAAATGATTCTTGATGTTTGCGATTCCGTTGCTTCAGTTATCAGCAGTGTGTAGACCAGATGGTCATCAATTTGAAAACAGGCGTTGACAAAAAAATTGTTCATTTCTGTAGACTCTTTTAAATTTTGAAGTTGAACTATATGTTAATAAACAATGACTTCATCCTCAAAGTGTGTGTATATATTTTTGAGAAACCCTGTATATATGTGCCTCGCACACAGTTGGCACTTAAACTACTTAATACATGTTCAATATAAGAGTCTCACAATACAAGGGAGAACCAGGACTTCCTTCTTTCCTGACTCTCAGGTCCTAACCGATTGCTTTCATGGTAGGTGTGCATGCATACACGCCTGCGTGGTCGAGGTGGAATGGCGAGTAAAGCTGTACAGTTCTAGTTTAGACCCTAAGCAGGAACTCGGGGAGGAGAAGGGACATGGAAAGGACCTTGTCAGAGGAGGCACACGGAGCTCCTTTCCCTCCCCCAAAGAGGATTCTGACCAGCTGGATCCTTGGAATCCAGAGACAATACTGCTCCTGGGAGGCGCCTTCTCTTACAGGACTAATTCCAGCGCCTCTGCTGACTCAGTCTCACGAGCTGACCTCTGACTCCTTTGCTGGACTCAGGGAAGCTGGAAAGTGGTCATCAGCTCACCCCCTGAGCCAAACAGCTGCCGGGAGAGGGGGAGGAGCAGGGTCCCAGCTCTGCTCCACTTTTCCTTAGGAGTAACGACAGCTGGGGCCTGTCGAGCAGCGCTATCTGGGAGCCATATGGACTGTTCTGTAGCTCTGCCATTCCCTCATCCAGCTGTAGTTGGCAGAGCCGACTTGGTCCCCAGCTTCCTATGTCGGACTGCCAAAGCCTCTCCCTCACATGAAACTCTGCCCTCTTGAGTCAAGCAGTACATACATATGACCTCCCACCTCTCGTGGACAGCATGCCCCAGCCCTTCCTTACCTGTGAACTGAGGACTCAGGGCCTGAGGGTTATGGATAATATCTTTCCAAAGCAGTTCAAATTCTGGTATCCTGGCAACATTCTGAAGTAGTCTTACGAGGTCCCGGCCAATCATCAAACATTCCATGAACTTGATGAGGGTGAGGGGTTACAGATAGGAAAAAGAACAAAAACATGGATTGTTTACCTGCTGCGGAGGGGGCAAAGGAACAACATGTTCTAGGGAGGGGAAGAAGGAGGGTTAAAAGGATTATGTGATTTCTTCTGGAATGAAGGACTGGCTCCTAGCTGCTCAGGGGAAGAGGGCTAGAGGTGTCTTGTCCTCACCCGTTCCCGAAGCAGAGAGATGCAGAAGTCCACCTCCTTCTGCCGCAGGGCCTGAAGCTGGGCGGTCCCGTGGTGGTCCACAATGAGGCGGAGGTATGTGTAAACGGTCATGGCGATGAGGATGCTGCTCTTTAACACCCACTCCCTGCAGGGAGGGAAGACAATGGCACCTGCACGCTGTCCGCACCAGTCCACGAGCCCAATTCCCCTCATTCTTGGCTCCAGGATCTTAGAAATGTTTATGATTAATTGGCACTGGAAGTAGGTTCTTTGGTTACTTGACTGCTCACTCATACTGTCCTTATCTAGGACTATGGCAAAGGTGGGGACAGCTTCCTACTTCTCTACTAGGTGTCCAATACAGATAATGCTGATGAAAGCATTTTCTCTTTACCATATAACTACCTGGATCTCAATAAAATAATTTTGTTTGTTGACTCCCTCCCTCCAATATCTACTGAGTGCCTCTCACGTGCCAAGCATGTGTGAGGTACTAGGGACAGAGGTAAGCCATAGCTTCTACCCAACTCAGATCTGGGGAAAAACATCTGTAAGTCTCCCTGAGTCAGTGGACCTCTGGGGATAACTAAGACCCTCTGAGAACCCTGGAGGTTTCAGAGCACACTGTTTGAGCCCTTCCATCATGTTCCAATAACCACCCCACCATGATGCCACAAACCCTCCCCCAGTTCAAACTTCTCTCTTTCTCCCTCTCTCTCCACTGATTCCATTCCCAAACAATGAGTCACCTGCCCTAAATCACAAGCTGAAAAGGAGAACTTCATTTTGAATGGCAAAGCTCATTTTCCTAGGAGTTTTAGACTTTCTCTGGGGAAAAGACAGTAATGAAAGAATTGTGTGCTCTACTGCTTTAAAAGGGGTAAAAAAAGATGCAGTGGGGAGATTCCAAATACTCCAATGCTGTCTCTGAAGTGCCAAAATTGGGGAGCTGTCTTCTCCAAGCAACTAGTTTGTAATGGCTTTGGCACCCCTGCGGGAAGGAGCGAACCAGAGGAAGACGGGGAGTTTAATTAATCCAACCAGGCAACATCCTGATTCCGGAAAAGCGCTGCAGCCGCCTAATTAAGAGGCTCTGGCCTTTTCCTTGCACAGAATGAAAGCAGCGGCTAAGGACACTGGGGAGGGTCCCTCTCCCTGTCTGCCACCTTTTAACTCTACACCGCAAGAAATGCTTGGGAGGGAGGGTGTGAGAGAGGAAGGGAGGGTGGGAGGGGAAGGGTGTGGAAGAGGACAGTTTTAAACTTCTAGGGGACTTGCACCAAAGGATGTGTTTTGGAGAACAGTGAAGGTAGGGCACTTATCTGACGCTTGTATACTGAGACTGCACTCTACTTGCCCAAATGAGGGGAAACCGAGCTTTTTTTTTTTTTTTTTTTAAATGGGTAGTTGTTTGATAACTCTGCTGTCCTTTCTTCATTTTTTAAATATATATATTTTATTAATTTCAGAGAGAAAGGGAGAGGGAGAGAGAGATAGAAACATCAATGATTAAAGAGAATCATTGATTGGCTGCCTCCTGCTCGCCCCCTATTGGGGATCGAGCCCACAACCCAGCATGTGCCCTTGACAGAAATCAAACCTGGAACCTTTCAGTTCACAGGCCAATGCTCTATCCATTGAGCCAAACCAGCTAGGGCAGAAACTGAGCTTTAAGGTATGGGGACAGGAGGTATCTTGCATTGGGAACAAAATGAGAAAAATTACTTTTTAGGAAAGTTGCTTACAGAAGTGAAGAATGTATTGTCCAGAAAAAGGAAGGAAGGAAGGAAGGAAGGAAGGAAGGAAGGAAGGAAGGAAGGAAGGAAGGAAGGAAGGAAGGAAGGAAGGAAGAAGGAATCCCTCTGACCAGGACACAGACATTCTGCAAAGACACCTAAGAGAAGCAGAGGCCTGGTAAGAAACGGCTAGGATCTCCTATGCTGTGGTAGGTGGTACCAATGATGATGGAGAAGTGACTCTAGTCACAGCTGCGGGTGCACGTCTGTGCCCAGGGCACTAGGTGGCACTGCACAGCTGACATGGCACAGCTCTCAAGCCTGGGCAGAGCACAGAACACAGCCTTCTCTTTCAGAAGTGTGAGTAAAGGAGGAGGTCCATGGACACTAAGAAATAGCAGGGAAATATGGATATATGAGCCCTCTTAATTATTTGACTATATGGTGTCCTCATCCCGAAACAGACACTGAAATCAAGGAGGACTGAGGTCACAGGACCAAGAGGAAGGCTTCAGCTCTGGAATAGCCCTCATAACTTTTCTGGTCCTTTCTTTGGTGGGGAAGGGAAAGAATCGGTGAGAAAACACAATATGCCCCCACCCCCATGCCCGCTCTACCACTCGAGCCTCCGAGTCCTTCATGCAAACCCTAGCAGGTCTTGATGATCTCCTCACTCCCACCTTTCCCATGCTACTTCCACACACACACACACACACACACACACACACACACACAAAAAGTAAGGGTTGGATGGAAAGTTTTGGAAGGGAGAAAGGGTACCTGCCAGGCTTGGGTATTTGGCTGGCCCCGTTCTGCTGAGCTCATTCTCCCCCGCTCCCCACAAAGATAAACATTCCAAGGAGGTCTGGATCAAAAATAAACCCTTATCAGATGAAACTAGTTTTTCCTGGGCTCTGAGATATTTCAGCAGAGACCTCCTTTCCCACTCCTTCATCCCTTTGGGCAGATCATGGCATTAATTCCTTCACTTGCCACCACAGACCTGCTTCTCCCTCCCCTGCCTTAGTCTCTCTAACCTAAGGTGTTTGGGGTCACCTATTAGCCTTCATCAATAGTCTCTCCTTTCACCCCATCTCCCACACTTGCAACCAACAAGGCCGTCTCTGGCTCTCTCCCCACCCTTCATGGTAGACTCTACCTCTGCTCCGTCAGGATGTCCAGAACACTTTCTGCCAACCAGATATTTTTTGACGTAATGTCCCCACCTAATCAAAGGGGAAGAAAAGAGAATCAGAATGATTCTAATTAGCTACTCAGATACACAATACATTTCGTCACCCATCCCACTGGTCCATCCTAACTGTTATCCATCACTGATGTTCTGAGTCTTGGGAAACTGCCTTTTGTTCTGTCAGGCTTTAAAAGTTTCCCCCTTTGCCTCCAGAGAGAAGGGAAGGGAAGGTTCTGGATTTTTCCAGAAACTAGAGCTGCAACTTTTCCAAAGAGTAGAGTTTGGAGTGGGAATACTTTGATCCTTGAAAAGGAATGTCTGGGAAGGAGACCATGGTTGGAAAGAAAGGAAGACATCTCAGAGAGGGCCTGAGAGGTGCCGGAGGCTGGGAACAGTAGCAGTCCAGAATGTGTACATCCCAAATCTTGTGTCGGGTTCATGACAGGCCCAGGGTTTCTTGTTTCCAGGTATCAGTCCACAGGGCTTGCTAAGGAACTTCTTGGGGCAGAATTAATATGCAGCAGCGCCAGACCAAAGTCTAAGGATGAGAAGTGAGGACTGAGAGTGGCTAACAGGGAAGAAGTGCCAGGAGCGTGGATAAAAATACCCCCGCACAACGCTGTCTTGCCCCAGGTCCCAATTTAAAAATTCAATGTTCACATAGTCACACATCACATAAATTAAGGTTTGCAGACATCAAAACAGGAGCACCCGTGTTACATAAAATCCTAAAGAAAGAAACAAGAACCAGAGGGCAATGGTGAAGGAGAGGCAGGCTCATTTTTAAACAAACACATGTGATCTTGCAGAAGGGGTAGGAAGTAGCACAGGCAGGCCTTTTGGACAGTTAGTGGCTTAGACAGATGTCACCAATGCCAAGAAGATAATAAAACCTAAATGTCAGGGTCTGTTCTATGACATGATTTGTCCCTCAAACTGGCCCTAATCAGATGTTGTGATTATTAGGGAGCAAGAACACAGAACGTGGGGGTGGAGCCAAGAAAGATGTCTGTTTCTGAAAGCATAATGTGATGGGAACAAATTATTGGCCCTTACTTCTCTCCCCATCCCTTCTAGATCCTTCCAGGTACAATACACCATAAACCCCAGGATACATTTCACTGATTATTGATGAGACTGAGCACCTTCTCATGTCTATTGACTATTGACTTGACTGGCTAAACTAAAATAGGTCAACTATTCTATGTCAGGCCTGAGTTTGGCAGGAAGAAACATGAGGCAAGACTTATTGATTCAAAAGGTGCCCCCTGATTTTTCAATTCCTTCTTCAACATATGCGGCCAGAAGACGCCTTCTTCAGAAGGAGAGTCTAAATGACCAGAAATGGAGTCCCTTAGGCACACAATCATTCTTCATGGCCTGGTGTAGTCTCTGGGCTCCTCTCCTTTCTTCTTTATGCTCTTGCCATCAAACTCACCAGCAATCTGCTTCATGAATGTCATGCATACACCATCAGCTCCCAGAACCCCACTCTTCACTAGTTCCCGTACCAACCACACCAACTAAAGGAGAAAGGAAAAAACAGATGAAGAGAAGGGCCTATGAATTTGAGAAACGGGCTAATCCAATAACATTACAACTCAGGTGTACAAAGACGGGGGGGTGTTACCCCCGACTCCTCCTCTGTTCAGTCTTCGAGCTGGAGCTCTTTTCTTTCTGGCCTTACCTGAGTTCGGCAGGTGTCCTGCAACTTCAAGTACTTCTCCATAAGGATCTGGTTGATTTTATTCAAGACAATATTCATGCCGTCGCGAGACACCAGAGCCAAGTCCCGGTAACACTGAGAAGAGAGTTTTGTAAGCAGCCAGCAAGCTGAGGATCCACTCCTGACCCCACCCACCGGGGGACCCCTGGCCTGTTCAACTTGGCGCCAATATGAGTAGCAATGAAGGACTTGCCACTCTGGTTGCTAACCTACCCCTTGCTCCATCACATGGAGTGGAGGGGGGAGTGGGGTGGGGGGGCAGACTGAGCTATTCTCTAATAAGGCAGAAAAGCCTGCTAAGAAAGGCTCCCTGTCCCCCCACTTCCCTTCTTAGGAAATGTCACACTGTTTGATGCCACAAGCTGAGCAAAGCCAGGTGGAGGCCATCTGCTTTTCATCTGCCAGGAAAAGGTCACCACAGAATGGGTTTGGTTCAACAGGCCACGAAGGATCACAGAGAAGTTTTTAAGCCTGTACTGACCTAGCCAGAAGAAGCAAAGGGTGAGGAATATTAAAGGAAGAGGGTCCAGGGACCTGGGCCCCAGAAAGAAAGGGCAAAACAAACTGAATTTCCTTAACTCTGGTGTCTTTCTTTTCTCTGGGCTGCCCTTTGCTTCTGCAAAGAATTGAAAAAGGAGGGGTCCTTATGCAAACCCACCCCTGGGGGAGCTGAGGGCGGGCATTCCAATTTCCTCTGAGAGCTCTTGCTTCCCTTTCCCCTAGAGCTTTTCTCACCCGGTCTCTCTGGAGACCAGACTCCTGGAGGAATACCTTAGGGGACCTCATTAGCGACCTTCTTAGCCTGCTGAGTTCTCTGCTGCCAGGGTCTGAGCACAAAGGGTAAAATTAGGTACGCAGCATTCCATGACCTTGGAAGGCAGGGATCAGCCATAATAGCAATTAGAACAGCAATTATAATGCATTGGCATGGTGTGCCACGTTTGTATCATATATTATCGCATTTGAATTACATACAACCCTTTGAAACAGTACTGTTTATTATCTCTGTGTTTACAGATGAGGAAACAGGCATAAGAGGTTAAAATAATTTGACCCATGTAACGTAAGAGATAAGAGGAAGAACAAGGATTCAAGTCTAGACAGTCCGATTGTAGAATCCATGCTCTTGACCACCCCCATACCGCCAATAGACATCACTAAAAGAAGAGGCTGCCGGGATGGAACAAGAATTTACAGTGGTTCTAAGACTGCTAGATTTTTAAAAAATATATTTTATTGCTGAGACCGGTTTGGCTCAATGGATAGAGCGTCGGCTCGGGGACTGAAGGGTCCCGGGTTCGATTCCGATCAAGGGCATGTACTTTGGTTGCGGGCATATCCCCAGTAGGGGGTGTGCAAGAGGCAGCTGATCGATGACTCTCTCTCATTGATATTTCTAACTCTCTATCTCTCTCCCTTCCTCTCTGTACAAAAAAATCAATAAAATATATTAATATATATATATATATATTGATTTATTACAGAGAGGAAGGGAGAGGCTAGAGAGCTAGAAACATCAATGAGAAAGAAACACCAATCAACCGCCTCCCACACCCCCCCCCACACTGGGGATTCACCCGCAAAAAGGGACATACCCCTGACCAGAATCGAACCTGGGACTCCCCAGTCCACAGGCCAACGCTCTATCCACTGAGCCAAACGGGTTTCGGCAAGACTGCTAGATTTTTAAACTCTTTCATCCTAAGTAGTCAAAACAGGAGTACTCAGGACCAGCTGCTCCCTGGCCTTGGAGTGGCTGGGAACTCCTAAGAGATTAGCTACTGCCACTTCCTCTTGTCTCTAGTGTCCTGAAGTCAAACAAATTAATATAATGAAAATAACAGCATTTAGGGAATCCCACCATGTGCTACAAACGTTTCATACCCAAAGGAAAACGTGATTATTCTGACTCCATCTGAGGTGAAGGCAGGGAGACCAAAAGTATAAGCAAGGGAACAAGGAAGAGGTAAACCACTGCCAAAGGAAAACGTGATTATTCTCTGACTTCATCTGAGGTGAAGGCAGGGAGACCAAAAGTATAAGCAAGGGAACAAGGAAGAGGTAAACCACTGCCAACGTGAGGTCAGTAAATGCTGGTAGTGTAGCCTGGAGCCTCCCCCAGACAGGGGTGCCACAGAATGCAGAGAGGATGAGAGAGGGAGGCAGAGAAAAACCTATGTCAGACCAAAGATAAGAGTCAACTAACCAGAGAAGAGCCCTCCTGTCTATTCAAACGAAAGCAGAAACGTAGAACAGACCCAGAGCAGAGAAGGAAGAGTCTCTGAGGAGACGCTGGGTCAGATGAAGGAAGCAGACACCGTCTGCCTAATTTCATGCTCCCGCTGGGACCTTATCAACCACAAATGCTAGTCGCACGTGGCAGCCGGGTACCAGGAGAATCGTATTTCTGATGCTGCCAGTTTTCTCACCAACCTCTGTATCAGTTTGCTGAATGGCTTGGAAAACAAATAGAGGAGGAAGAGGGAGGACTCAGTAGGGAACAGAGAAGAGGAATCTCAAAAGAAAGGAAAGGTGACAGGATGGTGCTATGGGAGCATATCTACTTGACTCTGTTGAGGTAGATATTCCATCCAGCCTCGACCCTCACAGCCCCCAACTTTCAGGAGCTGCCTGCTTAGAGAACTATCTAGACCAAGATCGGCCAGGGCCAGAGTCCCTGAGCCCTTGATGAAGAGAGATCTTGGCATTGATGTTAGACCCTTCTTTTTATCTACTGACTACCAGTGCCTACAGGGAAGATAAGGCCCCCCGTTTGGCCTCTCTCCTCACCAGAGTCCTTCAGCCAGGCCTGCTCCCAGCTAGTCAGTTCAGACATCAAATAGGAAATAAATAAAGTCAAAGAATATAAACATTCCTAAGAGTTGCCAAGAGAGCAGATGTAAATCAAGAAGGTACAACTGACTGAAACCGGTTTGGCTCAGTGGATAGAGCCTCAGCCTGCGACTGAAAGGTCCCAGGTTCGATTCCGGTCAAGGGCATATAGCTTGGTTGCCGGCACATCCCCAGTAAAGGGTGTGCAGGAGGCAGCTGATCAATGTTTCTCCCTCATTGATGTTTCTAACTCTCTCTCTCCCTTTAAAAATCAATTAAAAAAAAAAAAAGTACAACGGGAACAAAATCCACCCCATGCATATTCCACTCTCCACCAAAACCTGATCTGTTTTCTCTTTAACTGAGTTCTCTGGTTCAATCCACCCACTTAGAAGTCTTACAGAGCTGGTATTAACTCTTTGAACCTGCCTGACAGCCACACAGGCTCCTCTCCTCACGTTCCCTGAGCAAATTCTCAGGTGTCCAAGACTTAGTTTCTACTAACCGTGTTTCCCCGAAAATAAGACATCCTCCGAAAATAAGACTTAGCGCATGGAAAAATAAGACATCCCCTGAAAATAAGATCTAGCGCATCTTTGGGAGCAAAAATTAATATAAGACACTGTCTTATTTTCGGGGAAACAGGGTACCACCCTCTCCATTATCCCCTGTGAAGATGCTGAGGATAATGGAGAAGGTGGTAGTAGAAACTACCACCTGGAATCCTCAATTCATCCTTAGGTTTCTGTTCCAGAGATAAAATTAACCCGAATAAACCCTTAGAAAACACTCCCCTTGTTTTAAGCTAAAGCCCCTGAAACAATGCCTTAGGATCAGCCCTCATCAGTAACTCCCACCTAAAACTTCTGCAGGACAGGATTTCACAACATAATCGTCCTTTTAGGGAGAAGGATCAAAGCACAATGGGGGATACGTCACTAACTCTTCCACCATAATCTGACCTGGCTCAAGGACTCTGAATGAGTCACTGATGGTTCTCCACTTGCCTAAAACTGTATCCTTCTATTTCCCCATCTTTACCCCCTTGGTCTGAAGAGGCCTGACCTTGTGGTCTGTCCGCCTAGGAAGCTCCCAGGTAAAGGAATTATGTAGAAACCTTTAGCATGTGAACATAATCCTGATGTAGCTGGCAATCAGCAGTCAGACCCAAGGCGAGGGCCTGGGCCATCCCCAGAGGGCAATTGTAGGGCACAAAGAAGACAAGGTACCCTAATCCCTTGCTGTGTCTGGATGACCAAATTCACAACATAATAAGCATTCATAATGCAGAGTCCTGGGGCCCCTCACGGCAGGTCAGGCAAAGAACTAGAAATACTCCACACATCCTGTTCCCTTGACCGGGGTTTACTAATTAATATACCCTCACCGATTCAGATTCCATCTGAAACAAATAAAAAAAACAGCAGGCCCAGCTGGTGTGGCTCACTGGTTGAACGTCGACCTATGAACTAGAAGGTCATGGTTCAACTTCCGGTCAAGACACAAGTTTGGGTTTCAGGCTTGATCCCCAGGGTGGGAGGCAGCCAATCAATGTTCTCTGTCATTATTGATGTTTCTATCTCTCTCTCCCTTCCACTCTGAAATCAAAACAAACAACAACAAAAACAGTGGGCAAAATAACTTTACATTAAGATGATTAAATGAAGGGGGAGGCAATGATAAAATATGTACACAGATAATAATTTAATTTAAAAAATTTTAAAAAAACAACCAAAAAAACTAAACCTCCTCTTAACATTAAAAAAAGATGATTAAATGAGATTTTAATTGTATTTATGAAGCCCACACAAGAAAAAAATTAAACCTCAATCCCAATCCTTACACACCCAACTTTGCCAATAATTTCTTTAAAATAGAAGGGCTGCCTGGCCAGGCTGTTCAATTGGTTTGAGTGTCATCACTATATGCCAAGGTTGTGGGTTCAGTCCCCGGTAAGAACACACACAATAAACAACCAATAAATGCATAAGTAAGTGAAACATCAAATCAATGTTTCTCTCTGTGTTTGTTACTCTCCCTTCCTCTCTCTCTCTCTCTCTAGTATTAATCAATCAATACATAATAAAATAAAATAGAGGGGCTAGACTCGATGATATCCCTGTTTAATACCACCAACTTGGCAACACTCATTTGTTTTCAAGGATCTTAATGACGAATTCAGTATGAAAATGAAATGCCAATTTAACTCAACAAGGTCCCAGCCCAGAAATGGCCTGTGAACCAAGGACTTGTGAGTACTTGCTGCCCCACCCTCCCAGCAAGCATACCAGACCCTACTCCAGCTGGCACCAGCAGAGTACAAATACACCTGGTTGCCATGCCCATAAACCTTTCTCCTGAGGTTAATTCAAGCAGCTATGCCAGAGGACCTGGGCATCCTGTCTTTGTTCCTAGGAATGATTTTTCTTTGGTTCTCCTTGAACAAACAACAATGTCTCTGATATCCAGTTAACTAATAGATAAACTGGGAGAAGTTTAGGGAGAAGGGACAAAGCCACCAACCTCATATGGCTTTTTGGAAGGATTAAATGAGAACCTGTCTGCATACAGGTTAACACAACTGGGCACAGGGCGTTGTTTGCCTTTTTCCACACTCCCCTTGCTCATGGGAGGGCCGGTGAGAATATTAAATTCTCCCACTCAAAGTTTTTCTCTGTTAGTGACTTACAGTTAATGCCAGATATCAGACATACACTTTTAAACCAAGTCTAATTCTAATTAGTCCATTACATTATTACTGTAGCAATCATCTAACATTAAGCTGTCTAATTTAAATCCTACCTGCTGCAACCTTAAGCCGGCTTTCTATTCACCTGCCAGTGACAGAACCTGAAAACTACAGGTTACCCACTCTGGGTAAGAACTCTCCTGATTACAGATTGTCCTATTCTCTAGATTACAGATTACACCTCAAGTCCTTTAGCCTTGACTAGTAAAGCTAAAATTTGAAGCCTTTTATATGCTTCTCACTCTCACAACTGCCTTTTAACTTCAGAATCTAGAGACAGAGAAGGGACTTCAGTCAGAGAATGACAGATTCATGGTGCGTAAACTGCATTTAGAGACCGAGGTGGCCCAGCTCTGCTCAGAGTGTCTGGCATTGTGCCATGAAGCCACATCCATGTTCCACCGTATTCCCAGATCGTATCTGAGACGGGTCTGTGGATCCAGAGCAGGGTATCTTACCTTCTGGGCTTGAGCAGGTTCAGTGAGGACAAGAGTAAAGAGACCCAGGCAGATTTCCTCATGTTGGGGGGGGCCTTTGCATACCTGGGATCAGAGGAAGAAAAAAGAATTGTTTTTCTTCTAAGCAACCCACAAAGGAGCATCATCAACTCTTAAATCTGAGGATTCCTTCTCCAGAAAGTGATAGGGCATCTGTTCTAGGGGAGAGGTGGAGGGAAAGGATACACCTTTATTGCTTTTCTCCAAGGCTTGATGCAGACCAGGAGCAAAAAATTAAGTGTTTAAAATGGAAAAAAACAAACCCTCCTCCACATCCTCCTCCAGATCTTAACAGCCTTCAGCAGAGCAGGAGCTGTAAACAGTCATGGAGTAACAAGCGCAACTACCAGGGGAGGGTGGGAGAAAGGGGGAGAGATAAATCAAAGGACTTGTATACATGCATATAAGCCTAACCAGGGGTCACGGACAACAGGGGGGTAGGGACATACGTGGGAAGGGATTTGGAGTGGGATTGGGGGGATGAGGACAATTATGTGATACCATAATCAATAAAAAATTAAAAAAAAATAAAAGCACAAAAAAAAAAAAAAAAAACAAGCACAACTACCAAGCCAAGTCCTTGGGAAAATCAATCATTGAACCTCTGATATTTGTAAGGTGAAGACATAATGACAATTAAAAAAAATAATAATAACAAAATAATAAGTGGGTAATACTTATAGGGCATTCACTATCTGCCATTTTTCTAAGTCCTTCATATGTGCTATTTACAATATTTTTAAAATATATATATATATATATATTTTTTTTTAATATATTTTATTGATTTTGTACAGATAGGAAGGGAGAAAGATAGAGTTAGAAACATCGATGAGAGAGAGTCATCGATCAGCTGCCTCTTGCACACCCCCTACTGGGGATATGCCCGCAACCAAGGTACATGCCCTTGACTGGAATCGAACCCAGGAACCTTCAGTCCCCAAGCCGACGCTCTATCCATTGAGCCAAACCGGTTTCGGCAAAAATATATTTTTATTGATTTTAAAAAATATACATATTTTATTGATTTTTTTAGATTGGAAGGAAGAGGGATAGAGAGTTAGAAACATCGATGAGAGAGAAACATATTACTGGGGATGTGCCTGAAATCAAGGTACATGCCCTTGACCAGAATCGAACCTGGGACCTTTCAGTCTGCAGGCCGATGCTCTATCTACTGAGCCAAACCAGTCAGGGGTACAATATTTTTAACACCACAGATTAGAACATGTGAAAGGTCACATGGGTAAGAATGGTTTATAAAGAAAAAAGTCACTATGGAACTGTTATTATTTAAAGATGCCTAAGGGTCCAGTGTGGCACAGTGGTTGAGCATCGACCTATGAACCAGGAGGTCATGGTTCATTCCAAGCCAGGGCACAGAACTGGGTTGCTGGCTTGATCCCCAGTAGGGGATGTGCAGGAGGCAGCCAATCAATCATGCTCTGTCATAATTGATGTTTCTTTCTCTCTCCCTCTCCCTTCCTCTCTGAAATCAATAATAATAATAATAATAATAATAATAATAATAATAAAATATATATATATATTTAAAGATGCCTAAGGCTCCAAGGCATTAACTTCAGTTCCCTAATTTCTAGTCATTTAAGTCTCTCCATCTTTCTGATCATGTCTTAGAACTTCCAAATAAGCAGGAATGGATGAGGGGGGAGAGCATTATACTCACGTAGGCATTAAGGGCATCATTGGCCTCTCGCTCTGAGACACCAGTAGTCATCGATGTCACAATGCTCATACACCTTTCCAATCTCTGTGAACAAGTGAGAAAAAGTTAACAGTGAAACACTTCTGGTCCAAAAACGTTTTAGAAACTCCAACATCATTATGTCTCTAGAGCTAACTACCATCACTATAGGTATAATCAGCAAAATCCAGAATGTGGGAAAATTGACACGTGACCCGATTCCTTTAACACGTGGGAAGGGATCCTGGCTGGGTGACTCAGAAAAAAGTCCTGGCTGGGTGACTCAGTAGGTTGGAGCAAAAAAACGTTATAGGTTTGATTCCTAGTCAGAGTGCACATACCTAGGTTGCAGGTTTGATCCCATTGGGGCTCATTCAGGAGGCAACTGATCAATGTTTCTCTCTCTCTCTGAAAATCATTAAAAACAGGCCTACCCAGTTTTGCTCAGTGGATAGGGCATTGGCTTATAGGCTGAGAGATTCCAGGTTTGATTCCAGTCACCAGGTTGTGGGCTCAATCCCCAGTAGGGGGTGTGCCGGAGGCAACAGATCAGTGGTTCTCATCACTGATGTTTCTATCTCTTTCTCCGGCTCCCTTTCTCTCTGAAATTATATATTTTTTTAAATTTAAAAAATAAATATCATTAAAAACAAATCCTTGGGTGAGGATTAAAAATAGAACACTTTTTAAAAATGCAAGGAAAAAAAGCAAGAAGAGGGATACCTATACCTTAAAGGAGACTTAAAATTATAACCCATGGCCTTGGCTGCTTTGGCTCAGTGGTTAGAGTATCAGCCCACAGACTGAAGGGTCTCGGGTTCAATTCCAGTTCTACGGCATGTACTTCGTTTGGTCCACGGAGTGAGTGTAGAAGGCAACCAATCAATGTGTCTCTCTCACATAGATGTCTTTCTCCTTCTCTCTGTGAGGAAAAGAAAAAGACTAATGGAGAACAAAAGGCCAACCTAAAACCTGCTGGGCTCTAGTCAAAGGTGGGGAAGGCTGCATTAAAACCCACTCAGGAGCCACTCTGGTTTCAAATGGCAGCTCTCTTACATGCCATGTGCTCAGCATCCTAAGGAGAGCTTAGTCACTGTCCTTGTTCCAAAGAAGCATCTAATACTAAATATTGAGAAAATATATCCATGTTAAGTCAATGGGTCTCTTTATCATCACCACCTAAACTACTTCCTGAGTCTTTTTATCTTGATTAACCCCAAAACTTTTTTCCTTTAAATATATATTTGATTAATTTTTACAAAGAGAAAGGGAGAGGGATAGAGAGCTAGAAACATCGATGATGAGAGAGAAACATCCATCAGCTTCCTCCTGCACATCCCCCATCGGGGATGTGCCCGCAACCAAGGTACATGCCCTTGACTGGGAATCGAACCCGGGACCCTTCAGTCCATAGTCTGACACTCTATCCACTGAGCAACACCGGTCAGGGCAACCCAAAAACTTTTCAAGGAAAATCAGTTTCCAATCCCCAGTGATAATGATGCTGGGAAAAAAGGGACAAAGGGTGGCAATTTACTGCCCTGATCCTAGAGGTCATCACAAAACATCTTGTTGAGAACTGGTTGTACTGCCGCATTGTGAGGAACCAGCAAATAAGGACAATGGGAGAGAGGCCTGAAGGCAATCATGTCTCTCCTTCGACAGTCCACCCTAAGAGTGTCGGGTGGCACAGGGAACAACTGAGTGTCAAGGCAAGGAGCTCCCACAGCCACAAAACTTCGATCTAAACTAGGCCCAAAGCCACTCGGGTTTGAAGGTGTAATAACGTCACTATCCACACCAGGCCTATCCCTCAAATTAGGTCAGATCGCTGTGGCCAGCCTTAATCAACAGCACCTGTGTACTTGTGAAAAGGAGCTGTGAGATCACATGAAAGCTGAGCCGTGACTCTCTCAACCCACCTCACCCACGAGCTCTGAGATTCATCAAACTTCAGGTTGGATTTCTCTTCTTAAACCTCATCCCTCTCCACCCAAAGTAATTATCAACGACCACAGCATCAGTGCGTCCAGTGGCTAGACCCAAACTATTTTTGCTAACAGCTCTGCGGGGACCTGTTCACCCAGCCTAGGTTAACAAGCAGAATCCAAGTGGAGGAAGATGAGACGCAAGCAGCAGCACAGCATCCTAGAATCCTACGTATTGCTTCCTCCTCGAAGGAAAAATCTGTTGAATCAACAGAGATGCAAGTCAAATAGCAGCAGCAAGCTAATAAGCAAACTGGCCAGCAGGACCCCACCACCACTTGCTGGCCTTGGGCTAATCTGGGGTGAATTGCTTATCCTCTCTCAACACTGGTTTGCTCATCTGAAAATAGAAACAAAGTCTATATTGCGACGATACTCTAGAGCAGTGTTTCCCAAACTTTTGACATATGTGTACCCCTCATACTCACGAGAACGTAGAATTAGGCGCAGCTAAGCACAGTGCAGTGCATATCCCCACCAAACTCCGGTGCAACGCACACCCCCACCAAACTCTTCCCGTACCCCTGGGGGAAACACTGCTCTAGAGGATTAAACGAGATAATGTACAAAACGTGAAAATACCTAGCACACAGCCTCAGTTAATTAGAATCTATTCCCTTTGTGAGGAAGTTCAGCAACTGTACAACTAAATCTCCGAGGACCAGACTGAACTCCGCCACTATGGCTAATGGCTCACCCTTAGAGATGCCTGAAGATGGAATCCTGCTGCTACAAGAACACGGGTTAAGTCCCTAGCCAGTCTGCAAGCTTCCTCTCCCACTTACCTTCTGTAAACGTTTGCCTTCTAGGAGAGAAGAAAAAAGCTCAGGGACGAGGGGAGGAAGCCTGCCTGATGGACCTTGCACCAAGATCCTACCGCAAAGACAAATACACAGCCCTGCAGCCGTGATGGAACAGAGACCTTGGGCTGAACCAGGTTTCTCCAGGCCCCTTCTCAACCTTCCAAACTCCACTCCGAGGCCTGAGGCGATTCTGTGAGTCACTGCCCAGTCCGAGAAGAAAAGTGGCCCCTGGGGAAGTCAGGATGTACGAAGAGGGAGAGTCCAGAGTGTGGATGTGTAGATAAAAGCAGTGAGGAAAGAAAGGTGAGGGCCAGTCCTTCCAGGCGACAGAAGTATGAAAGATGCTCCTCTTTCCGAACTACAGCAATTACTTTTCCAAACACGGATGGAGAACTAATTACAAGTCATTCAGAAGGACAGAAGGACCACGCTGCCTCAAAGAGGGCGACAGGAGGCCAAATCTCTCTAATCAAATAGCAGTACCCCTCCCTTCAGTCTCTACAGGCCCTTAGTAAAGATGGAATCTACATGCAGTTGCCAACAGCTGGCACCCACGGCTCTGTTCGGAGCAAGCCCTCCACAATAGCCCCTCAGAGAGCTGAGTAATGATTTACCATTTCTAGGAGCTTCTGAGTTAATTTTTCTAGTATTCAAAGAACCTGGTTTCCATGATAGCAGCAGTGGGTGGAGCATGGGCAGAGGGTGGGAGGTGGCCTTTCAGTTTTCCAGTATGTACCTGGACATAATTCTACCAACTTCAGCAAAAGAGGATCTGATCCAACCTGCAAAATCCCAAGGACCCGCATTATTGAACAAGCTGGGTTTCAAGTATTCCACAATCAAGAGTCATGTATCTGAGAAACAAGGGTTTAAGGGGCAGTGGGGGGTGGGGTGGGGGGCTAGGATCAGATAGAGATGGCTTAACGCCCATTCCCTAGAGATTCCTCACACAGACATGAGTTATTCCTTGGAGAAAACCTGGAAGGCACATACCCCTAACCAAAGGCAACCCTGACAGCTGCCCATAGCTTAAGAGGAAGTTCTGAATTGTCGTGCCACAGCTCCTGCCATCAGCCTGACTTTCAAATGGACAGGGTCCTTCTCAGTAAAGACTGGAGACAGGCGGGGGGGAGGGAGGGGTGCGAACTGAGAAAGTTTATGAGACTAGGAGCTACGTGTTCTAAAGGCTTCCAATCTGTGGCACTATTTTTATCTCATTCCCAAAAGGGGAGAGGGATCGGCAAGAATTCCCTCTTCAAAGAGAGGAACAGAGCCAAGGAGAAGAAAGGATACAACCACCGCTCCCTTGGGTAGAAGAGTCCCAGGCCCTGCCTGGTCTGCTCCTCACCAGAGCTCTGTATTCCGACCCCTAAGGGGCCCTTCCTCATCAGGCCAGCTCTGATGACCCATCTCTTCACTACCATAACCAGTTTTGTTTTGTTTTTAATATATTTTATTGATTTTTTTTTTTTACAGAGAGGAAGGGAGAGGGAGAGAGTTAGAAACATCGATGGGAGAGGAATATCAATCAGCTGCCTCCTGCACACCCCCTGCTGGGGATGTGCCTGCAACCAAGGTACATGCCCTTGACCGGAATCGAACCCGGGACCCTTGAGTCCGCAGGCCAACGCTCTAGCCACTGAGCTAAACTGGTCAGGGCTACCATAATCAGTTTTGTGTGTTTTTTTTGTTAACCTTCCTATGGTAAGTTAACTTAGTCTTCAGATGGTGAGTTCTGGAAAGCAGCTCTTGGGTCTCCCTCATTCTAGTTCCTATCAGACTCAGCACACAGTAAACATGTGTGGTCAGGAGGCTAACTCTGCGTCCCCAGGCAACAGGTAGGCCTGTGTTAGAAGATAGCCAAACGAGAACAAGCAGAGAGATCAGTCAGTCTCCGTGAGGCTTTGATAACTTCTGTGCAGAGATCTGTGGGGAGACCCGGAGGAAGAAGCCAGGAAAAGACGCCCTTAGAGGCACTCTGGTCTAACGGGAACCATACACATGGGGTTAATAGCAGAGCAGCAAGAAAAAAAGGGGGAAAAGAGCAACACGAATTGCAAAAAATAACAACAAAACAAAAACAGAGTGGCAAGGCTTGCTGGAAAGTTCAAATGCAAAGGGCAAAGGGCAAAGAAAGGGGGAGCCCAAGACATGCTGGAAACATCTGCACCACGAAGGATTTCCGGAAAAAAAAGAGACCCTTCCTCCCCCCTCTCCCTGCAAACAGTTAAAAGTTCACTTTCAGACAGACCGAAACAGCAAGAAAATAAATGCTTCTTCCTCTCCTTTGCCTTCCCCTCCTGCCATCCAACTGCGTTTACTAGTCAACATGTCGCTGCTCAGAACAGGATGCTGATTCTGTGGCACACACTGGAGCAGAGGCAGGATGGCTCTAACCATCATGGTGGCCAGTGAACAGATGTTCATCCCACTTTTGGGGACTTCTCCCCTCCCTCCAGTGCTACGGCAAAGGGCTCAATCAATACTTCGTCAATGCCAGTGGCCACTTCTGAAAGAGTGGGCAACTCAAGCTGCCAAACAATCCTGAAGTCATTTGTTTGGGAATATTTGACCCTTAGGAGCACTGTGCATGTTCCTAGCTGTATCTACTTTAACTGATCAAAACAACAGGAGAAATCAAACTTTGATTTTCCTAAAAGCACAAGGAATGATGCGGGAGAGGCATGACAGGAAGCCTATCTGTGAGCAGACATGTGCTGGCGGATAATCCGCACAGTTGCTATCCAGCCACCTCTTGATTCACAAAACTCCTTTCTGTACATATATCCCACCATCTGAACCTGAACCAACATGTCTTCACATCTAAATCCTGAATGCCACCTGCCTGCCTGCCCTCCCTCTGACAGTTGATGAAGGGCAGTGACAGCTACAAGCAGGGAAATGGCCAGTGAAGAGCCAGGGTCTAGCTTCCTCACCCTGTCCCTGGATAACCAAGCTGAACACATTAGAGCCTATGGACAGTTCCACAATCATTTCCCAGTTCTGGGTCTCATATTCCTAAGTCTCTTGGCATGTGACAGTGGAAAGAGATGCATGATCCAATCTTGGGGGGGGGGGGGGGGGGAGAGACAGGGGAAGAGGAACAAGTGGGGAAAGGGAGGAGAGGCCTACTATCCCTAATCTAAAGCCCCATTACAGTCCGCTCCATCACCTCACTCCACCCACGTCCTTGGCATTTCTGTGTGTGCACTGTCTGGTTCTGAAGGTGCTCCTCACCCCACTGTTGCCAGATGCTGCTGACTAAACACTACCACGTTTCCTGAAGTTTTCACTCACTCCAAATGCCCAGCTAAGGGGGCATTTCAGATCTTGCTCCCTGTATATATCATCAATTTGGTTCAAGTGAACTGTTACAAAAATTCATAAATAAATACATAAAGACATGCCCAGTTAACATCAACTGGCAATTGTCTGTGCCTACATGAAGTCAATACTACCTAACCTAAGGGTTCAAGATCTGCTAAAAGTTCCTATGGGCCCCCAGACACGTACACACACACACATTACTTCTCAACATATGACCTAAGTCTGAAACAGGGCAAATATGAATAGCTATGGCCTGTATGTGGAAAGTTATATATATATATTTTTAAATCGGTTGGTCTGGATACTGTATCCCTTCCTCAGCACCCCCCACCCATTTTCAAATTAGTGGCTTCTGTTGCCATGACAACCTGTCCAGGAAGTTGGCCCGCACTTCTTCCTTCAGGAACAGGAAGTGTGGAACAGTGTGTTGCCTTAGAAAAAACTTGAAGGCCTCCCCCCTCCCCTTACCCCCACCCCATATCCGCTCTTATTCCCTCCTCAACCCCATTTCTTAACTCCCTTCCCCTCCCCCCACACCTACCTCCTCTAACTCATCCTTGGCATCCAAACTGGTGGAAAGTAGCAGCCTCCCCCCTCCTGGGGCTCCTGCTCCCGCTCCTCCTCCACCTCCCGCCGCTCCTGAAGCAGCAGCTGCTGCTGCCCCCTTTCCCTTCTGCAACTCCATGGCTGCAGCCCGGAGGCGGGAGGAGGCCAGGGAGTGGATGGGTGGGCAGTCCTAGGAATGAGGACCTCAGGGCTGCCAGGGACGGGGGGCAGAAGGGACTGGGAGGGGGGAGGGAGAGGAAGGGTCCCTGTCCTCTCCACGCCTCCCTCCTCTGCGGAAGGCCGCTCTGGAGGAGGCCCTGCCGCGGAGTGGCAGCGCCGAGGGGGCGCCGTTAGCTCCTAAGTCTGCTGGAGTGGGGGGGCTGCGCCCCTATGGGGAGGGGAGGAGAGGCCGCCGGCCCTGAGGGAGCGGGAGCTAAGCCCCTTCTGGCTTCTGCCCCTGAGAGAAGTGGGGGAACCCCTAAGTTTCTGCCTCAGGAGGTGGGTGAGAGAGGAGTCCTGCCCCAAAGCAGGGGCTGGGGAGCCTTCCTGGCGGGTGCCTCAGGGGTTAGAGAGCGAGGTTCCTTTGGATCCGTTCCCTGGAGGGTGAGGGGGAGGCCATGAGCGCTACAGGAAGGCACCGAGGGCCAGCTTCTCCCTACACCACACAGAGGCGGCCATGGTGGAAGGGCGGGGGGTGGGAAGCTGAGGGCGACAGCGGGGGAGGGGCGGGATCCGGGCGGCCCGCGCCGGAAGTGAGCAGTCGCGGTCCCCGGCCTCCGCCAATGGCGCGTTCGGCGGTGACTCAGAGTCCCGGAGCGGTAGGCGGAGGGCGGAGGCCGGCCTTCTCCCCAGCGGCCAATGACATTAAGAGGAGCTTCTGGCATGACAGACAGCCAGAACATCCAATCGCGGTCCTCCTTCGCTCTTGGAGGGCGGGGAAATGCGAGGCGATCAGGAAGGAGCGAGGCTGCGCTTGCGCGCACTGATGCGCACGCGCAGCGCGGCCTCAGTCCTCGACTCTCTTAACCCTCCTTTCCTCTCTCCACCCGGAGCTTGGGGAGGTGCAGGAATCGGGCACCTGTGGTTGACTCTGGGAAACCCCAGTTGTAGCTACGAATTGGCAGTGGGGGAGCGGAGCTGTCACCCCAAACAATCCGGAGTAAACGCCTTTCAGATGCCGTGGAGCCAGCTCCCCGAGCTGAGAATGCACCACACAAGCAAGTGTATGCATTCACCAAGTGCAGTTAGCCAGACGTGGCCAAAAAAAAAAAAAAGTGCATAGAGCCACTTGTGCAAATCGCAGTCGTGCCAGCACTAGATCTCGCAAATTTTTACTAAATGACAGAACCATTTTCTTCTATTTATTTTAATCCTCACCCGAGGACATGCTTTTATTGATTTTAGAGATAATGGAAGGGAGAGAGAGAAACATCCATGTGAGAGTGAAACATGGATGGATTGTCTTCTGCACGCACTCCAACCGGGGTTGAACCCTCAACCCAGGCATGTGCCCCAACAGGGAATGGAACCGAGCCTGTGATCTTTCAGTTTACCAATCAACTGATTTTTTTTTTAAATAGTCTTAAAAGCAGCCGAAGCCGGTTTGGCTCAGTGGTAGAGCATCGGTCTGCGGACCAAAAGGTCCCAGGTTCGATTCCGGTCAAGGGCATGTACATTGGTTGCGGGCACATCCCCGGTAGGGGGTGTGCAAGAGGCAGCTGGCCGATGTTTCTCCCTCATTGACGTTTCTAGCTCTCTATCTCTCTCCCTTCCTCTCTGTTAAAAATCAATAAAATATATTTAAAAAAAAAAATAAAATAAATAGTCTTAAAAGCAAAGAAACAAAAATAGAATACAGACACATTTAAGTAAAAGTCAGTTTATGTATATTAAGTTCAAGAATACTGAACGTGCCGAAACCGGTTATGGTTTGGCTCAGTGGTGGAGCGTCGTTCTGCGGACTGAAAGGTCCCAGGTTCGATTGGTTGCGGGCACATCCCGGGTGGGGGATGTGCAGGAGGCGGCTGGTCTATGTTTCTCTCTCATCGATGTTTCTGGCTCTCTATCCCTCTCCCTTCCTCTCTGTAAAAAAATCAATAAAATATATTTAAAAAACAAACAGATGAGTCTTTAAAAAAAAAAAAAATACTGAACGTTATGGTGATAGAAGTAAAAATAATGGTTAGCTCCGAGGAGTGAGTTTGGGGGAAGTATTGCTTGAGGAGGGACATTAAGGACACTTACGAGGTGCTGGGGACAATCACATCTTTATTGGGTGATAATTGTGTGGTTTATTTTGGTGACTACATATGGTTTGTTTTCCAAAAAAATATATGGAACACTTCATGAATTTGCACAGGAGCCATGCTACTCTTCTCTGTGTCATTCCAATTTTGGTATATGTGCTGCTGAAGGAGCACTGCATACCTGTGTTAAAATTTGTTGAGTTGTTCATTTTACTATATGTATGTTTTACCTCAATTTTTAAAAATGGAACAAATAAAACTAAGCTGAGCCACCATCTTTCATCTGTCAAGTTGGCAAAAATCGCAACATTTGAAAACAGTTGTCAAAAGTTTTAGGGGATTAGTTACCCATTCATGCATTGCTGGTGGGTGTGCAGGTTGGTAAGTCCTATAAAGGAGTACTTTAGAATTGATATAAAAACTACAAATATGTATACCTGATGACTGGGCAATCCCACTCCTAGGAGTTTATCTTGCAGATATTCTGCATGGGACATGACATTAGGTGTAGGTACCAGATTAAACATGATAGCATTGTATACAATAGCAAGAGTTTGAAAACAGGTAAATGTCCGTCAGCTAGGTCCATGGTCGGCAAACTGCGGCTCATGAGCCACATGCGGCTCTTTGGCCCCTTGAGTGTGGCTCTTCCACAAAGTACCACGGCATGGGGGAGTCTATTTTGAAGAAGTGGCATTAGAAAAGTTTAAGTTTAAAAAATTTGGCTCTCAAAAGAAATTTCAATCATTGTACTGTTGATATTTGGCTCTGTTGACTAATGAGTTTGCCGACCACTGAGCTAGGTTAATAGATTATGATATCTGCACAAAATCAATGCGATGCAACTGCAAAAGAACAAGGAACCTCTTTCTAAATATATATGGAAAGAGTTCAAGATATTAAGTGAGCTAAGCAAGATGTCACTTTTTGTATAAGAGAGGGGAAGACAACATATATTTGTATGTGCTCATATTCATACAAAGAAACCCAGGAAGGACCAAAAAGGTTTAAAAAAAAAAAAAAGTGCTTACTTATATGTATGTAGCTATAGATAACAATCTGGGCAGATGCAAGGGAAACTTTTCATTGCCTCTCTCATATATTCAACAGTTTAATTGCTGATTTTAAAATTAAATTAGTTTATTTTAAAAGAGAAATAGATTACCATATGTTTCAACAATTCCACGTCTGAAAACATTAACTTGAAAAGACATGGAGTGCCCCACGTGCACTGCAGCAGATTTTAAACAGAGAATAGGGTGGGGAAAGAATGGATTAGCAGCAGGAACGTGAGAAACGTGATGTGAGATTGCAGGGAGGAGCTGTATGTGCGTCCACAAGTTCCAAATAGCCCATTGTGTGACAGTCACAGGAGGTGACAGTTGCCTGCTCTTTGCACTCTTCAGACTGCATCCGGACAGATTCTGCTCCAGATAGGGAGGCAGGAGGTTGTCAAAAGGATATTGACACACTAGGGTGAACCTATAGGAGCTCATCCAGAATAGATGATAAAGAGTCTGGGGTCAGATCTTGAAGGAATCTCTAAAGAAATGAGTGATGTTATGTTGCTGAGACTCCAATATGTGGGTGAGGGGGAGGCAGCAGGAAATATTAAAAGAGAGAGGAGACTTGTGTAGTAAGGGAGGACAGTGTTAGGACCATTGGAAGCACTGTGAAGGCAGATTGGCTTTTCAATAAATGTAAAGGCCGAAACTGGTTTGGCTCAGTGGTGGAGCGTCGGTCTGAGAACTGAAAGGTCCCAGGTTCGATTCCGGTCAAGGGCATGTACATTGGTTGTGGGCCCATCACCGGTAGGGGGTGTGCAAGAGGCAGTTGGTCGATGTTTCTCTCTCATCGACGTTTCTAGCTCTCTATTTCTCTCCCTTCCTCTCTGTAAAATATCAATAAAATACATTTTTTTAAAATGTAAAGAGAGTTTATATTAAATTAGTGGTCCAGTGCATGAAATTTGTGGACATTAAAAGGGAATTAGAGAAAATATTTTAATATTGCTATTTGCCTTTTCACTATAATAGAAGTGTCAGTGATTAAAGAAAATTAGTGCCGAGACTGGTTTGGCTCAGTGGTAGAGCGTCGGTCTGCGGACTGAAAGGTCCCAGGTTCGATTCCGGTCAAGGGCATGTACATTGGTTCCGGGCATGTACATTGGTTCCAGGCACATCCACGGTAGGGGGTGTGCAAAAGGCAGCTGGTCGATGTTTCTCTCTCATCGACGTTTCTAGCTCTCTATCCCTCTCTCCTCCTCTCTGTAAAAAATCAATAATATATATATATTTTTTAAATTAGTAAAATGTATATGAAAATATCTCTCCTGTCAGAGTCTGGGTGCACACCATGGGACCCAGAGTCAAGTCCCCACCCACCTGTGTGCACCTGAAATCACACCAGACCCAGACCCAACCAGCCCCACCCATTGGGTGGGGTTGCAGCCTCAGTTCCCCCGTTGAGCCCTGCTGGGTAGGGAGTGCAGCCTCAGGTCCCCTGGCCCAGCCTGAGGTCCCCTTGCCCCGGTACAAGGGCACGAGGGTGTGAAAACCATTTGCATATTAGCTCTTTATTATATAGGATACCTGATATCAAACAATTTATAATTTACATTGGAAAGTTGTTCATCAAATGATAACAATAACCTGGCTGCTATGTCTCAGTGGTTGAGTGTTGACCTATGAACCAAGAGGTTACGGTTTGATTCCTGGTCAGGGCACATACCTGGGTTGTGGGCCCCATCCCCAGTATGGGGCATGCAGGAGGCAGCCAATCAATGGTTCTCTCTCATTATTGATGTTTTATCTCTCTCCCTCTTAAAAAAAAAGTTTTTATTTATTTTAGTGAAAGAAGAAGGGACAGGGAGAGAGAGATAGGAATATCAATT